CTAATAAATTTGTTAGTCTCTAAGGTGCCACAAGTACTCCTGTTCTTTTTGCGGATACAGACTAACACGGCTGCTACTCTGAAACCAGTTAATACTTTGGCCCTGTTATTTTCCAGAGCAAAGCTCACACTGTCATATCAAGGTGTTAAGAGAAATGAAAAACCCTCCACACTATAACAAGCCCAAGCAAGAAGCTCGGGAACCCTTAGCCTAATACTGGCACATTTTACAGTGACACAGCTCAGCACTTACTGATTCCTCTGTCTTCATGGCTGTCATCATCTCTCTCATCCCTATCATTCTCCAGGTTGGACATACGCACTGACATTTCTACACACCATTACAAACAGAAAAATGCAACTGTTAAGTTGATCCAAAATGTTTCTCTTATTAACAACTGTCAGCCTGGTGGAGTGGTGGAAGCACTCTGCATTATCGTGCTGGAGTACTATGCTTTGGGAATGGGCTTTGGAATCCCTGTTTTGGGGCTGGCTGGGGACTAGACGTACCAGGAAGAGGATATGCCAGGTACCCTTGAAAGGAACTGTATGTGTAAGACTTGAGTGATGCAGAAAGTTTAGTGAACAGGCTCAGACTGAGTCAGTATGGTCCAGTGGATAAAGCCCTGGACAGGGACTCCAGAGACCTGGGTTTTATTCTCAGCTCTGAGACTTGGGCAAATCACTTCCCCTCCCCATGCCTCTGTTTCCCCTACCACACTTTGTCTGGTTGACTACTTAGATTGCAAACCGGATTGCCCTGCCTCTCACTATTGATACAGTGTCTAGTACAATAGAGTCCCAGTTTCAGCTGGAGCTTTTTTTAGTATTAGTGTATGACAAATAAATAAATAAATAAATAAATAAATAATTTTTGCTCTTCTTCCCTTCCTTTTGAAGTAAAAGATGCCACAATGATGAATTTCTCTCAGAGTGCAAGAGAGGAGTCAGGGAGAAAAGATACAACCAAAAAGCAGCCCCGGAGGAGGCATTGTGAATATTGTAATTCTAATAAACTACTGGCAACAGCACTATTACTTGCTAGAAAACAATCTACTATTCAGAAGTTACAGGACTGGTATTAAGCTGGGTTTACTGCTTTAGCTCTAGGAAAGTCATATCCACAGAATCCTGAGACTTGTTTTAGCATTTTTTGTCCAGGTCTTCCCAAGGAGACAGCAAGTCTAGCTCTGTACCCAGCAGAGGGCAGTGGTACACAAGTACATTGGACAGTAAGTACATCAGTTATGTAAGGAGGGGACTGGGAGATAAAATGGGAATCAGAAGAGAAGCAAGAATAAAGGATTCCCAAAGGATGAACCAAAAAATGATCTTTGAAACTAGGCAGAAGAATGAACGAAACAGCTGGATTTTTATCCTCACTGCGAATATCTCCCTCACAACTTATCAGCTCACCCTGTGCAGCAAGAGGTGACATGTGCTGGTGACTCCTCCGGTGGATCTGGTGACGATATGCGTATACTGCCAGAACGAGCACCATGATGCATCCCATAATACCTCCGGCTACAGGACCAACCGGAGCACTTTTTATCATGTTCAAAGTGACCACCTCATCTCCTTAAAAAACCCAAAAACCAGAGCATAAATACGTTGCAAACAAGTTTAAATCAGCATTTCTATAACATTAAAATAAACTCAAGGCTTCAGCACATGACTTTTGTGCACCTACATTGATGGTGTATGCAACAAAATACTGGCAGTTTAACAGTTAAATATATATCCTCATTAAAAAACCAGAATTACCTATCGCACCCATGTCATCCACGTAAGGGCTTTTAGCTCCCACAATGCCACCAAAGCATTCCTTCTGAGGTGCGCAGTAGGATTTATCCAGATGGGTCTTTCCATCGCTGTCCACCATACACCACTCACAGTCCAACACGCCAAAGCAATCCCTGGAAGTGAAGAAAAAGGCTGGCTTTACCTTAAAGAAAATCATTTTTGGTTGGGTGTATCTCAGTATATTCATAGTCACTAGACAACTTGGAACCAAAATCGTCCATAAAGCCTCACAGCTCTGATGATTGGCTACAGAAGTGTCATAAGGGTTTAAGTTACACAAGGTAAATCATATGGGGAAAGAGCAGCTTTGTCATAAAGGGCCAGATTCACTGGCCTGCTCTCCTCTTTCTGCTCCACTTAGGCAATGCTAAGGGAGAGCAGACCGCCCGAAACTCCTTGGCTGGAGACTCTCTCAGCATGAAGGAATCCCTGTCTGGGTCCTGTCTCTCTCTCTTCGAATGCCCCAGTGAAAGGGGTGTTTCGGCTTGGGAGGGGCACTGATAAGGTGTGGTTGAAGCATGATGCACTCTGGCTTTATCCAGCTGATGGACCATTTCTTGGAGACCACAGCCAACCGGCACAAATCAGAGCAGTCCCCAGGCTGTTCTAACCAGTGTCAGGGGCAGAGAATCAGTGAGCTGTAACTGGTTCCCTGCCACTCCTCCTGCTCTGCCACACTCCACAAAACTGAGTGCTTCAGAGAATTTGGCCCTGATCTTTGCTAGCCATGACCTGAGCCACAAAGCCTACTACACTCATATCACAGTTTAAGTGACACATAGTTTATTTTTTGCTGACAGAAATCCTTGGTTAAGCAGTGCCTACTCCCAATGTTTCTATGACCACTCTCCTTTTAAGATCTGCTTCTCAAAAAGTGTAGGCAAATATTGTGGCACTTTCCCCTCTAGCTGAGAGGTGGAATTCATTGTCCTTTCTACAGCTCATTTCTCCTCTCACTTACATTGGTGCATTCCATTGACTTCAATGTAGTCAAGAAAGGGTGTCACTGAGGCTCTCTAATGCATTTAATAGCAGATAGATGATTCAAACAAGTTTACTGCATGGCGGCATCAGGATCATGGCTGCAATTTTATAGCACTTAATTTACTTAGCGTCAAGGGAAGATTTGTCTGTATTAGAATAAATAACAGCGCCTAATAATTTCAAGCCCTGCACGTATTTTCAGAGAGGGAAAACATTGCACTTTACCCACTCTCCAGCCTCTGATTACACCGCGTGTTAATACATTGTGGAAGAGCATCCTGTAGGCTAGGATCAATTGCTGTGAATGCCATCGGTTCCTGGTGGACTTCACAACTAGGATTCCTACAGTGGGGAAAATAATTGAGATCATGTCACAAAAAAGAATTGCAGTAGAGCCAATCAAAAAAATTAAACTTTGCTAAGTATAATCCAACTGTTTAATCACTCTATTCTATCGGGCACTGCATATATGGTAGCATGAGAAAGTAGTCCATATTCAAGGGTTATAACATTTAATACTCACAATAACAATGTTACTCGAGTTTTAGAGATACTTGTTCTCACCTGCTTTCTGCATTGGTAAGGTTGCCAGTACATTCATTGACCTCTAGAGGGCATTCACAAGGGCATTCACATTCGTTTTGTTCCATTCTTTAGAAAAAAGAAAAAATGGCCAGTTGCATCAATATAAAGTGAAGTCCAAATCCTAATCCCAGCATACAGCCAGTGTTTTACAGACCATGTACTAAAAAGACACCCGATTTGTAAGACTAAACTGGCTATTTATTAAGGCAACTATTTATTTACCAAGACATTGAAACTTCAGCTAACATTCTGGCCTCATGTGCACTGGTTGACTTACTAGTGCAGGGGTAGGCAACCTATGGCACGCTTGCCGAAGGCGGCACACGAGCTGATTTTCAGTGGCACTCACACTGCCCGGGTCCTGGCCACCGGTCCGGGGGGGCTCTGCATTTTAATTTAATTTTAAATGAAGTTTCTTAAACATTTTAAAAACCTTATTTACTTTACATACAACAATAGTTTAGTTATATATTACAGACTTATAGAAAGAGACCATCTAAAAACGTTAAAATGTATTACTGGCACCCGAAACCTTAAATTAGAGTGAATAAATGAAGACTCGGCACACCACTTCTGAAAGGTTGCCGACCCCTGCTCTAGTGCCTTCTCCACAATCTACCCTCCAGCAACCTGGGCTCTTCCCTCCAAGTTCCATGCAGGTTGCTGCAGCTGAGTCATTAGGAACTCATAGTCAGGCTGAGCATTAGGAACTCAGCTGGGAGACAGGAACCCTCCCTCCCCCATGTGGAACAACTCCTCTGCTCCTATTCTGAGTTGCAGAAGAGAAGAATATCCCCAATGGACCTGTGGAGCTACTAGCCCTCTCCTTGCCACATTTCCCAAGCCCCTGAGTGCTAAGAAGCAGAGAAATCTCTTCTTCCTCCCCCACCGCATAGCTCTCCAGGGTGATCACACACAGAGCTCCTTCCCTCCTGTGCAGCTTTACCACATTGTTTTTATTGTAGTCAAGACCCTTTGCAGGGACAGGGTGTGAAGGCAGTAAGCTTGGCACCTATGTGACAACCCATCATATTCCACACCCAAAGGCAAGTGTTAATAGGCTGTAAAGAAGGTCCTGTTTCTGCAAACCCTCAGACCTGGGAGTGACTTTGCCCCAGATGAGTACTCCCATTCAGTTGAACTATTTATAAGCAAAGTGATTCACATGCCTGAGCCTGAAACAAAAGGGAGCACTGGCAAAAGCCAAGGAATGGAGGGGAAAATGGCTTAAACTCCCACAAGGCTTACATGACAATTTTTTTTAAACTACTGTGCACCTGATAAATCTGCAAACCCTTATAAAAGAGGAGCATAACCCTACTCATTACACATAAAATATGTTTTATTTATGCAGGTACAATATTTGTTTTGCTCTGACACAGGAGTTGCACCATACATGTTAGGTTTCAGAGTAGCAGCCGTGTTAGTCTGTATCCGCAAAAAGAACAGGAGTACTTGTGGCACCTTAGAGACTAACAAATTTATTAGAGCATAAGCTTTAGTGGGCTACAACCCACTTCTTCGGATGCATATTGAGTGAAACATATATTGAGGAGATATATATACACACATACAGAGAGCATGAACAGGTGAGAGTTGTCTTACCAACTCTGAGAGGCCAATTAAGTAAGAGAAAAAAAACCTTTTGAAGTGATAATCAAGATAGCCAAGTACAGACAGTTTGATAAGAAGCAAGTGTGAGAATACTTACAAGGGGAGATAGATTCAATGTTTGTAATGGCTCAGCCATTCCCAATCCCTATTTAACCCTGAGTTGATTGTGTCTAGTTTGCATATCAATTCCAGCTCAGCAGTCTCTCCTTGGAGTCTGTTTTTGAAGTTTTTCTGTTTTAAGATAGCCACCCGCAGGTCTGTCATAGAATGGCCAGACAGGTTAAAGTGTTCTCCCACTGGTTTTTGAGTATTATGATTCCTGATGTCAGATTTGTGTCCATTAATTCTTTTGCGTAGAGACTGTCCGGTTTGGCCAATGTACATGGCAGCAATGTACTCCTGTTCATACATGTTAGCTTAGCCTACGAAATGACCAGTGCTCTCGGTCTTCATTTGCAATAAAATAAAAACCAATACCTGCACTTGCCAATTCATTTCAAATCACTCTTACCTGTGACAGTTCAGACAGAGCCTGTCTACCATACTGCAGGCACAGAAAGCAAGAGAGTCACAGGTTTCATTGACTATTCCAACAAAGGCATTGGTTCCAGGTATTCTTGTCAGTCTGTATTTAGAACAGTGGCTGCCATGCACTAGGTTTGTCAGATCACCCTAGGGCGAAGCAAGGCATGTCAAAGATGTAGTAGGAAACATACTCTCTAGTGAGTTGAAATCTTTCCCCCTCCCCAAACACATTTATAGAACCATAAGCTGAAGCAAAAACTACGAGGGAACATGAACGTACCATGCCTTTTCTTCAGATAACAGGCATACAAATTAACTCATCAGCCTGCTTGGGAGATGAGCAAAACTGGGCCAGTACTGGATGACAAAGCACTTTCCTAAAGATTAACAACATTTGTTTATCTTATAACATTATGATGTGCCATAATGGGCTCTAGTCTAGTAATCCTGCCTGACAGCGGACAATACTTCATTCAAATAAATCTCTCCTCCCTTCCCTTCCTCATCATACCAATCAAGGATGTGCACAAGTATGTGTGTGTGGGGGGAAGCAGGGGCACAGCTCTCCTCTCCCCCCCCCAAATAGAGGTGGGGGCACAGAGTCCCTATGTGACAACAGAGAGGGTTGGTGACTGGACATAAGGAGCTGGGATCCACTGCAGAAGACTCCAAACCAACATTTAAAAAATGTCCTTAATAAAAGATAGGGAAAATAACTTCTCAGCGCTCACTTCTGGGCTAGCTTATGTAACGTTTGGCAAATACTCACATTCATAATCCCTGGCACCACTCATGTGAGCAAAGTTTGTACAATTTAGCCCACTGATTTTATGTTTCTACAGGGCCACCATGTGCTGCCCTTCACAATGAGTTGGTTTTGAGTTTCCGTTTGCTGTTCTTGGTGATCAACATTGACTGCCCTTTGCATCAGTCAAAGTAAATCCAACCCAACCAAAATACATTCCAAAAGTAAAACAAGAAAACAAACAATACGTACCACTAGGCTAGTGTTAAATTTATAAAACCTCTGAACTGTTCTGTCACTGAAACTGTTGCAGAGGTTTTTCTTCACGAAGTTTGGGTGGTTTAGAATGTCATTTGCTACCAAGGGTTCCTAAGAAGACAACAAGAGAATTTTACTTAAAAAAAAAAAAAAAAAAAGACATGATTTAGCCAAACCTTGTGTGTAATATGCTGCTGTTCTACCGGAGCATGACCTTTAGGATCAATGAGAGTTGGGTGTGCCACGAGATACCCTCTATCCTCCATAATAAAGCACCTGCCCAATATAAACAAAATGCATTATTCATGAGGTTTATTTATGTTTTAAAGAAATGGGTAGGTTAAATATGGTTGTAAAAAGAAGCTTGAACAAAAACTCTGTCCAATACAAAAAACAGTCTGTTAAAAATTCAGTGGAAATAGTTTTAAAAAGAACATATCAATATTTCCCTGAAGTTTACAAACCAACCAGTATTGCAGCACTGTACTAATACTTGAGAATTTGAAGGTGGAATTGACTGGACACAGAAATGAGACCACTTATTTTATTTCCATTGTCTAATCTGCGAGAAATGCACAAAGTAAACCAATAGCATAAATAGCGAAAAACAAGATTTTTAGAAGTTCTAACTGCTTAACCTGAAATGCTAATAGTAACAAATGTAAGGACTCTCCTATGATTTTCCACCAGACATTTTCCTTTTAAAGTAATGTTAAGTTTTTAGTTTCATTTTAATAGGGGGGAAGTCACCTCCACTTAATAGTCTTATGAAAATGTGAATCTCCATTAAACTCCTAATTCACACACCATTTCCCTTCTTATTCCCAGCTCTTCCAGAGTGACTTTGGGGAAAGCATGTAATCTGTGCCTTTGCCCCTCCATCTGTAAAGTGAGGTGTTGGGAAGCATCATTCCATAATGTTCATAAAGCGCTTTGAGATCCTCTGATAAAAGCTTACAGAAGGGCAAATATCTTATTTTCCTTCTCTCCCATGTCCCTTTCCTGTCACCCTCTTTTCCCCAACCACCAATGTCAACCCTTTTCTCAGGCCTCCTTCTCTTTGCAAGGCCTTTCTCTCACTGGCAGTCCCTCTGCACAGCACGCCTGTCTCCATCCCTCTTTCTGTTACCATAGACACAGAAAACAGTGCTACAGGGGAAGGCAAAGGAGCAGATATCCTAGGGAGAGGGCTTAGTCTGTGCAAAGATCAAGAGAATGTGTGGCCACAGAAAGAAAACTGGAAGAGGTTAATGTAGGCCACTTAATGCTCCTGAAGAACTCAGCAGGGGTGGAGCTAAAGTCCCCCAGCTTAACCATAGCTTTGGCTGGGTCCTGCAGCTGTGCATGCAAACCCCCTGCCTCCGGCCTGGGGCTATGAGAAACTGCAGGAGCGGCTTTACAAGTGTACAATTCCCACAACTGCGTGTACAGTGTAAAGTCCTGACTGTATCACCTAAATGTAAAAAAAACGCATACATAATTTTAAAGGTAACCTGCACAAAAAAATAGATAGGGTGTACCCTTTACAATATAAGAAGGAGGCATGAAAAGTTAACAGAATTTTTTTCCTACTAACTTTTGTTTTTACATTAGAAATGTAGGTCTTGTCTGCTGTTTTTCCTGGAAGATGTCATAGACAACTCACGAACTAGTAGACTTATGATCACAACTACCATGGGATGAATCCTGATTGACTGGAGATGGAAAATTATTTTTATTCTGACTGTTCAGTCTAACCGTTTTGGGTTGGGGTTTTTTGTTTTTGGTCTGGCTTTGAGGACACCAATTTAAAATCAAATCCCTGACAAACACTTGGAAGATATGCTCTGAAAAAAACCAAAACAGATTCAACGTCATAGTGCTTTCCAGGACTGAGAGCTCCCAATTCTATGTCCTGTGATGGAGAGTTACAGCAAAGTACTTAACCCAAGACTTGATATTCATGATATTGTAAAGTTGAAAGAAAAAAAAAAAAAAAAAAGGAAGCACCCATCCCTTTTATTACTATTTGTTTTTGACAAAAACAAAAGTGAAAACAAAACAAAACAAAACAAAAAATCCCAAGGCAAAATCCCTGACAGGCCTTTTTTATACACCACAAAAGCATAAAAAAGGTGTCACATACATTTTTACCTTAATTCAAGATCTCCTTTAAGCATTCCAAAAATACTTTATCAAGCTACTCTATCCATAATATAGAGGATTTTTGCAGTGAGTCTTCAGTGGAAGGCCAAAGGGAAAATGAAACATTCAGACATGTGTAGGCCACACCAAGTTAAAATAAAAAATGAGTCCAGGCATATTACACTACATTTGTAGTATTACTTATTTGATGTGACAACTTAAACAAAATAGTGCTGAATATTTATGCTTCAAATCAATTAAGCGGATTGTGTGATTTTCATATGTAAACAAATTTTGTTCTTTCATACTGTCAGTGTCACCAGTTAAGTATCTAAAAATACTCCAGGATAAGAACGAGTAACGGAATGAATGGAAGCTGCGTTCATCTTATAATGGATTTATGGGCATTTGTATTAAGCCTGAATAATACAAGTAAGAATGAATTATTTCCCCTTTTTATATTTTATTGATTGTTCATATACGTTCAATGTCGGATATCAAGAGTCCAGATTGTCCTGATGAGGATAAAGACTGCAGATTACAATACAGGAGGGTGAGCCAGAGCAAGGAACAGAATGTTTGAAGATATACCACATGAAAGGGAAGACTAAGGCTAACTCAGTAACCCAAAGGTGTACCTTATTTTGTTGCCTCCATCTTGGTTGCAAACTGGTAGCAAGTCCATTAGAACCTTATAGAAGTACCGCAGAGTAAAGTCAATGCCCATCACAGCCACAGACTGTCCTGAAGACATTTGTGCACTAAATAGAAAAAGAGAAGCAGATTGGAGGACTATATGAATAACTGAGCATTCAAAATACTTTATTTACTTCATATCAAACTCAGCAATCTACAGACAGGCATCCAACCCCCCCCGAGCATGTAAATGACACCCACGCAGGCTCAGAGCTGCACTCAGTTAAGAAGTGTAGCTCATACCCCTTTCAGGCTTATCTAGCTTAGGATAAAAGGTATTTTATAAACACATTTGCTGAAATGTTTTAACTAGCACATTTTGAAACCCACTGTGAACCGGACAGTTGTATTTTAACATGCCATTGCTGGTCGAGGTGAACAAAATGCCCCCACCTAGGTTTTACCTTTACCAGTTGGGTGTTAAACCTGGGGTATATCCCACAATGGAACAGGATCATGGCTGAGTGCTGAAGAAACCCAAATTTATCTCCCTGCATTTGATCTCATTTATATGCAGCCCACCCAGGATTTGCTTAGTGATTCAGCTTGTAGCCCTTGCATAGCAGAAAGCACAGTAAGAATGGGAGTCCTTCTTCCAGATGTTTTGCTTGAGCACATCACTTGCACTCTTTCTATAGCAAGAGTCTGTAGAGAAGAAAGCCTCAGATACCAGAAAGACTCATTTTCCACTGCATTCCCTTATGCCATATGATCTGGTCTTCATTATTCCAGAGTGATTTTTTGCTCGAAAGCGAGATGAAAGGCTCAAACATGGTGAAGAGATCTAAGCAGGTAATTTAAGGGGCCAACAGATATTCACTTTCATTACACACATAACAATGTAAGTTAGGGTTAAAAATACCCTAAACAAAAAAGAAAATACCCTAAACAAAAAACAAATTATCCCTCCCCTCCCCCGGCATCACCATAGTTCACAGCCCCCTTATGCTCAGCACCAATTACAGAGCAATACCTGCTTCCTGGGGGAGGATGCTGCTTAAAGAATCTTTTCAGCTTCTCGGGAACTGAGTGGCCTGCAGACCTTCTGCTTATTACAATTTTTATGGCTTTTTACTCACCCTCCTACTATGGCAAAGGGAACATGAAGCCCCTCTTCAGATTATGTGAAACCTCCCGGGGGAGGGGGGGGTAATTTGTTTTTATTCTTAATCTAAAGCTTTGTCTTTACTACTTATATAGTTTAAACTCTTTAAAGTGTAATCTTCTCTAGCATAAAGAGAGGTTGCCCCCTTCTGGTCATAATGTTTATTATTTCAAATTGTTTGGAAGTTACAAAGCAGAACACAAGACGACACCATCTTCCACGCTTTTTTTAAAAAAAATTTTAAACCGTTTTCTGCAGTTCTTCAAAACCTCCTTTTTGCATAGGACAGTTCACACCTCTGGTTTTTATGCCACCGAGGTGTGTGACTACAAACCTCAAAGTCAGCTGGCAAAAAAATGGTTCATGTACAAGCACATTAGGGGCTGAAAATATAGTTAATACTATACTAAACACTCCTTGCAGACAAAGACTGCCATGTTTAACATCCTATCAAGTTCATCACGGTTAACCCTGGGGTGAGTCCTTGCTGACATGATGATAGACACACACTGAGGGCTAAATTGCATTTAAAATCATGTTAGTTAACGTGTTCTGCCACAATGTAATTTTCCAGCATAGAGAAACCACACTTGGACATAGTAATGAAAATTCACATTCAGGAATAAAGCAGGATCTTCAGTTTTTGTGGATGATTAAGAGCAGCAGCTGCTGCGCATTATAGTATCCTGTCCATATGTGGAGGTCTGCTGGTGTCCCCATTTTGCTCAGCAGCTCAAGAATACACATGGTTACCTTAGCAACTGACACATCAAAGACCTACAAAACACAATCTTGGAGCACATATGCCAAAGTATTTTTCACAACAGTGCTGGAAAGCTCTCCTATTCCTCAATCATTTGCCTTTATTTTCCCACCCGTGCTGTTTTCTCCATTAACTGTGCAGTACTCCCAAGAGTGCTCGTGGCCAGAGACTGGTGGCCGGTTAGAAAGTTCACAACAAAACAATATGCTTTCTTAGGGTTCTGGTTTGTTTAGAGGGTTCTTGTTTCACTAAAAGAGCCCAAACCAGCAAAGTCTCCAGCGACATTCCCTTTTAGGAGGTTAAGAGCCTGTGAACTCCAAATAGGGTGACCAGATAGCAAGTGTGAAAAGCCCCAAATATCGGGACTACAACAAAGAGGACATCATATCTTATGACATCACTTGTGTTTCCAAAGCTCCCTATCCTGGCAAATCCTTCTTCCTTTCTCAGGAGAATAGCCTAGATGCTCCCTGTAAATGTCCCTGAGCCCAGGCTCTTCTAGATAGGACATCAACTTCTTCTTCCCACCTCCACACTCTTCCAGGATTTAACCCCCAAATCCCCATGCTGCTGTCTGGCTTGGCAGGGCCTCCTCCTAGGAGCACCACGAGAGTGTGTGACAGGAAGAAGGGACCCCCTTCTTTGGGATACTGTATACCAGAGGTTCCCAAACTGTGGGGCATGCCCCCCTACGGGGGGTGCGGAGGAATGTTCGGGGGGGGGGCACAGCAGGGCCCGGGCCAGCCCCCATGGGTGGCGGGAAGGGAGCGCCACCCTGCCTTGTTCCACACTTAACTCTGCTCTAGCCCTGCCCCCAGTCATGGCCCTGGCTCCTGGCCTCGCATCCAGACATGGCGCCGCACCCAGCCCTTGCCCTGCTCCTGGCCCCAGATCCGCCCTCAGCCCCCTTACCCCTCTCTGCATCTCTCTCTCTTCCCTCCCCCCCCCGCCCCAGAGCGCTTCCAGCCCTGGCTCCCGGACTGGGTGTTAAGGGGTGTGTGACCCTGAAAAGTTTGGGGACCACTGCTGTATACCCACTTACCAGAGATTATGTTAATGCCTGTTTCCCTTCTAAGCACCCTATAATAGGAGAATAGACCTATTTAATTTAATACTATTTTGAAAATTTTTAAAAGAATTTCATCTGTGAAGATAGAATCAAAAATGTCAATGCCTAGATACAGCAGCCAATGGAACGGGACAGCTGGCCTCACGATCAGGGCCAGCTCTAGGCACCAGCAAAACAAGCTGGTGCTTGGGGCGGCACATTTTTAGGGGCGGCATGGCCGACGCCAGAATGCCTCCCCTAAAAATGTGCCGCGGCCGCCCTAGCTCACCTCTGCTGCTGCTGCCTGGGAGGGAGGGGGAGATCCCGAGTGGCCGCGGCGCGCAAAATGGCTGTTTCGCGCGCCGCTGCTCCCCCTCCCTCCCAGGCTTGAGAGCCTGGGGGGAGGAGGCAGGGCTGGGGATTTGGGGAAGGGGCGGAGTTGAGGCGGGGGTGGGGGTAATTAAAAAACGGGGGAGGGGGGCGGCCAAAATTGTTTTTTGCTTAGGGCGGCAAAAATCCTAGAGCCGGCCCTGCTCACGATGCAGCAGGGGCTTCTTTGCCAATATTCCAGATGCTGACCATCTGATGATTTTTCACACAAATAAAAAGCAGATCAATCAGTTCTAGTGGATTAAAGAAACCTGTCTGTGCTATGACTCCACCTATCTAAAAGAAAGCTGGCCTGATGAAGTGTTCGTGCTCATGTTGTTCCACAATATATGCACTGAGGTCCATAATTTCAGTCAATCCTAAAACTGTTCCCTGCACAAAACTGAGCCCGCACAAAAATTGTGCCTTTAGTTTTGTGAAGGCAAAAATCCACAGAAACATGAGGTCATATCTATTTGCATGCGCAAGTCAGGTAGACATCACAGAACACAGTGTGTAAAGACCGGTTTGCAGTCTCAAAAATGTTACTAGTGGCACTTTAGAGGATGGTTTTGCTAACTTAGCTCTTGAAGTTTAATCCTATAAAGGTAAATAATAATGAAATATCTTCCCAGCGACAGCACTAATTAAGACTTTTTGTCTGTAGCTATATTTTACCTACAAATCCCTTTGGCCATATCAAGCATATAGTCTTTTAATAGATACATTAAATTAAATCTGTTCTTATCTTAAAAAATTTCAGGGAGACAGGATTCCAGTGTAATACAATCATATTTGGTTCTATATAACAAGAAAGAGAACTATAATGTCCTGAAGATGTCTTTTCTCTCTCTCTCTCTCTCTCTCTCTGTAAAAGCCATACAAAAGGCTTCTAAAAGTATTATTTTAACTTCACTTTTGGGTACTAATCCCTTCCAATTATCTGATATATTCTGTAGTAGAAAAAACATTATTTTGTGCATGGATTGTCTTTTTCCCAACCTTTGGAAGCAAATACTATCCCGTATATAATAGGAACAAGAGAGAAGCAGTCATTTCATTGATGTATTCTCATTACATCAAACATCAACAGAAGAAGTTCAAGTATTGTGCACTGGCAAGGTATGAACAAGATGATCACACTGGCTGAGAGCATGGAAGAAGTTAAGAGGCACAATCAAGTGAAAAATTATATTTGAACGAGGAAATTAACTTCGGTTATTAATTACAATTTAGATTATTACAATGAAAACATTTTACTGCTCACTGCTGCTGCTTATTTTCTTGGGATATTTCATTCAGCTTGGACAATGAAAATTTATTGATCAGTTTCACTTTTGTTTATAGGTCTCTTTGCAATTTCACTTCCTGGTAACATAATGCTGTAATATTAGGTCCCAAACAGCAGCAGGAACTGTTTGAATCTGAATAGCTGTTTCTAATGAAAACATTAGGCCTTTGGAATGTTTTTTTAAACACAAAACCTAATTTGGGGGCTTATCCCATGGGACAATATCCTTTTGATCCTAGCAATACTTGGAGCCTCAACGACAACTATATAAGTCTCCTTGAAATGATCTGAACTGTCTCTTATTAAACAAAACAGAATAAAAAATTGATATATCACCACAAAGAGCCAGTACATTTTTGTCCTCAAAGAAGAAGCTCTTATTCTCTTAAATGATTCCCTATGTGAAAAGCTCCACATAGTTACGTAGCCCTGACTGATGCTCCTGCCAAGGAAGATGGACAGATGTTTTGCTGTGGGAAAGATCAAACAAAGTCTACATATTTCCGTAGAAAAACTAAAAGCAGCCCTCAATATTTTAGTGTTTAGAAACAGCACTGCCACTAATGTCCCCAACTCAGAGCTGGCCAAGTGAACTATTTAGCAGAGCAATGCTAGAAACCAAGTTCTTCCTGCTGGGATGTTAGTTGGAGTGTGTATAGCAGATGGCTCACCAATGAAAACGCTGGAACAGATTCCTCATACAAACCAAACTGAGTGGCTAATATTTATCTCTGAAATATTACAGTGTCTCTAGCAGGAATATTAAGAAAGTGTTCAATATGAAGTATGCTATAGAAGTGAAAACTGAACTCTTTAAAGATTGTATACCCTAATCTGATGGAATCTCATCATTTGGTTGGATGTCTGGCCTGAAGACAAATTATTTTAAACTGTCTGATCTCTGAATCACAAAGGATCACTTCAATATGTGAAAGGGTTTTATATATAAAACCTCACCCCTCTCCTCAGAGTCTCTTGACAGTAATGACAGAAGACATGCAGCAATGAATGTCAACTCAGAAACGAAGTGAAACACACTGAACGTTTTCTTAAAATGGGAGGCCCTACATTAACTTTTTTTTTTTTTTAGTCATAGAAGAATCAGCAATACACAAAATGTATTTTCCTACATCAGGATGGTGTTTATAGCTATGGTGGTGTGTTGTTCCAGAAGTGGGGATGGCTCTTTTGTTTTGATTTGTTTCCTGTCTGTGCATATAGAGGCTGGGATGTACAGTTTCTTCCCACATAAACAAGTAAATTTTTGGACATTCTAGCACAAAATGGCTAAGCTCTAAGTTTTGAATGGCACAGGCCAGGGGCTCTCCAAATTGCATATAGAGAATTTCAGGGTATGTCTACATTGCAATGTAAGCTCAGATTTAGTAGAGCTTGAGTTAGCAGACCCTGGTTTTATTAACCTAGGGCTTGAGCGTCTACACTCATTTGAAACCCCAGGAATTGCTGAACCCTGGGTCCCAACCTGGGGCTCCAGCATCCACACTGAATGATGCGGGCCGGAGTCTGGCCACTCATATCCCACCCATATACCCTCCCAAAATGTGGCCGCTCTAGCCCTTTGTGGTGCAGTGTAGGAAAACGTGACTGTCTAGAGGACAAAGAAAGTCAGCCTGTGGGTACTTTTGGCAGACTCCCAAAGCATGAGTCAAGTGGGGCTGAGTCTGTACTGCAAAGCAACAGGGCTTGAATGCTGAGTCCCAGCTTGACTCAGACCTTCCATCCCCATGGGATCCTGGGTCAGCACAATTTGTGTGTAGATGGAAGGGGCATTAGGTGTTAGCCTGAAGGGGGGTTATTCTGAGTTTGATATACCCTCAAAGTGTCTTATGGCCCTACCTTCACCATTTGCAAGTGTGCAAATTACCTCCCCTCCCAATTACGACCATGTAACATCACTATGGCAAATACAGCAATTACTTAAATGGAACAGTAATTTCAGGAAACTAAAGGAAAAAGTTGATCAGTCTGTTTGGCTATCTCATCTTCCTCTCCTATCTGTTCTGTTCTGTCCCCATCTCCCCCCAGTTCTGCTGCTTCCTGCTGCCCTTCTCTTCTCCCATTGCACAGGCTTTCCTGCTCCTCCTCCAGACCCCCCGTAACTGCTTCACAGACCAAAGTTTGGGTACTGCTAGCACAGACATAGCATTGCTCACATTGGTACCCATAAGACAGACCTGACTAAGGCAATATTGTAAGTAAATAACTCAAGCTACGAGGATCTGAAAATATACTGGAATTGAAGCAATGAGGGAAGAGGAGAACGTTCTCGTTTTAGAAAAACACGTAGCCATGTTAGATGAAAAGCTAATTAGAAGAGCACAGGCTTTCAAAGGAGCTACACAAATTATGCTCCCAGATAGTGTATATGAAGGGGCCAAAAGCTGACAGTGCAACATGCTAAAAAGTTCAGGGTGACACAGATATAATCTCCCAACATGCAAATTGCAGTTTAAAATTTGTGTGAAATCTGGCTGCTCTATTTCCTTTGACCCACACTATAGTCCATGACCTATATGCCATGACATTCACTATGAAAACTAACAATGCTGCTCTCATGCATAGGTACACAGGCAGCCGAGGAGGTTAGTGGAAGCTACCTTCCCCTAACTTCCCTGCTCTCCTGATTAGGGGTGGAAAACTACACACAGCCCAGTGAGTGCAAGGGTTGTACAGGTCTCTCACCACCAGTGGCACTAGCCTCCCCAAAATGGGAACAATGGTGTAGGGAACTGGCTGTGTTCAGAGAGGAGTGTATATTGCACTATTTTCTAAGGGCATTGCATGCTTCCCCTGTGTTCCAGGAGGCGTTGTGCCAGTGCTGCTCAATGGAACCGCTGGCTAATAACCACAGTCTGGCTCACCATTAATTTTTCTTCATTAGACCGTATTAAAAGAACAATGTTGTCTCAAGGAAATTAAAAATTTTATGCTGGGACGTACATGGCATATACTTGGTTGTCTTGTGCAGAGGAGGGGATGGGAAAAGAAGAGGGCAATAAGGGGAGGTTATTAATATATAGAAAAGAGAGAGAGAGAGAGAGAGAGCGAGCAAGCGAGCGTGTGTGTGTGTAAGTGCCCAACTGAGAAAGTGTGTATTTCTTAAGACTACACTGGAAAAAATAGATCTAACGTGAGTATCACTCAGAGCAGGGGTCGGCAACCTTCGGCACATGGCTCATCAGGGTAATCCGCTGGCGGGCGGCGAGACATTTTGTTTACGTTGATCATCCGCAGGCACGGCCCCCTGCAGCTCCCATTGGCCGTGATTCATCGTGCCACAGGGACACGCGCCGCTTCCCACAGCTCCCATTGGCCAGGAACAGCAAACCGCGGCCACTGGAAGCTGCGGGGGGCCGTGCCTGCGGACGGTCAACGTAAACAAAATGTCTCGTGGCCTGCCAGTGAATTACCCTGATGGGCCGTGTGCTGAAGGTTGCCGACCCCTGATTTAGAGAAAGAACACACATGAAACAAGATAAAGTTTCTCCTTCAAGAAGAGGGGGAAGGATGTAGTCAAACATACACAGAAGAAGTTTAACTAGAAGATGGGCTTATTTTCTAAAAATCCTCATCAAAAAGCTAGTGGCATAACACAAGGCTAGCAACTGCAAGGGTGGGGGGTATACACCAAAATTCTTGATTCAAGGGGCATTTTTTTCATGTCTACATTTTATGTATATCAAAACTCTACTCCCATTCACCCATAATCACATTCAGGCACAACAAACCTTTCAGGAAATTGGTCTTATAACTCAAGTTTTGATAAACTTCCAAAAGACCAATCTGTGCAACTCTCTCCCAGAACGGATTTTCCAGAAACAGAGCTTCAATTGGATGTTTCCCCTGCATCTGTGTACATTCTTTCCATTTTACTGAAGGCTCTTTTAGGACAAGCATTGTGCCTGCTCCCATTGGGAAGCACCTGGCCTATTGGGGCTCTAGCAAAAATAAATTGATCACAGATAACGTCTTTACAAGTCAATTCACAGATTTTTGGATTGATCAAATATTCAAAATGAAATTTTACCTTGAAGAATGAACAGTGTGGCTGATTGTAACAACATAGCCAGCTCCTCCAACATCTAAATAGGGACCAGTGAAAGTTATTAGCCCCGGATTAGCCACTGCATGCAAGTACCTAGTAAAGACCAAAACAAGCATTATTTATGAATGAAAACCAGTCATTTTAAATGTAAAAAATGAGGCTTACACAAGTATTTAACTGAATGCCCTGTAAGCAGCACTACTGAAGTCAAAGCTCACCGTATTGGAAGTTAAGTAGGAGTTTTTATGTAAGCAGGATCAGGGCCCAAAACAGGCTAACTCAGTAGGATAATGTTACTCCACATGAAAAATCATACTACATTATTCTGTACAAACACATTTCACTGTATCACATTAACATAAAGTGAAATATTTAGATTATTTAAATCAAATCTAATTCTGAATAATGTTGGATTTAAAAACCAACTGGGGCATACATCCTTGAACAAAGTGTGGTTAAATTCATGTGTAGAAAATATAGGAGGAAAGGCGAAAGCATTCTTTTATACAAACAAAACTCACATGTGCAAACTTAAAAAGCAAAATGAATATTACATATTATTAATTTGAAGGGTTACTGCCACCTAAAATAACTCACACTTACATCAGAATTTTTTAACGTCATTGTGACAAGTAACACCTCCAGGTTCTCCAACTGTAAGAGGTGAAAGTAAAACTGTCTCTCTCTTTTTCCAATTTGTTTACTTTGCACATTTGACATCACTTTGAGCAGAGACAATTTCACTGTTATCTGCTTTATAGCCAAAGAGTTTCCCTTGTTGTTTGTGTGGGTTTTTTACCCAGGAACCAGGAAAAGAAAAATGTGCATGTAAAAATCACAAAAGCTGGTATACAATGTCAGGGGCAATACCTGAAATGACTCCTCATTTTTTAAAAGAATTTATTAGCTTTCAAGTTGATAGAATCCCTTTACTCAGGGGTGGGAGGGGAGTGAGGAGGGGGGAGAGGAGTCTATATACACACACAAACATTTATTTTCTAAATAAAGGGAAAAAGGTGTTTGTAAATGTTGTATATCCGTGGTGGGCAACCTGCAGCCCATCAGGGTAATCTGATTGTGGGCTGCGAGACATTTTGCTGATGTTGACCGTCCACAGGCACGGCCCCCCGCAGCTCCCAGTGTCCACAGTTCGCTATTCCCAGCCAATGGGAGCTGCGGGAAGTGGCGGCCAGCATGTCCCTGCGGCCCACTGCTTCCCACAACTTCCATTGGCTGGGAACGGCAAACCGCGGCCACTGGGAGCTGCGGGGGGCCGTGCCTGTGGACGGTCAATGTCAGCAAAATGTCTTGCGATTCGCAATCACGTTACCCTGATGGGCCATAGGTTGCCCACCACTGCTGTATACAGTTCATTTATAGTGTGAGCTCCACAAAGCCAGCTAATTGTGTGAAGAGAGAAAAATTACACAACTGTAAATGATTGAACTTTGGAGAGGAAAAAGACCCAAAGAAAGGTGAGTACTGCCAGTCCAGAACTATGGTAATTATTTTTCAGGGGAGATGTGGGGTAGTGGAGCTGTGGAACAAGCAATGCCACCAGTGATTTAGAGCCGTGCTAATAAAGCCACAGGGTAGGAATCCTAACTTTACTTATGTATCCCAGTCTCTAACTTGATTGTTCAGAGCCATACTGCAGCACCACCTGGCTGACTTCTTTTAACAAAGCATACGTTAAAACACACTCAAGAGATTTCTCTCGTGTCAAATCTCATTTGTTTTATATATATAATTTTCCTAAATCATATGTTAACTGCAGCTATTAATTATGCACTTAGCCAGAAAATTCCTATTTGGAAATACACCTCTACCTCGATATAACGCTACCCGATACAACACGAATTCGGATATAACACGGTAAAGCAGTGCTCTGGAGGGGCGGGGCTGTGCACTCCGGCGGATCAAAGCAAGTTCGATATAACGCGGTTTCACCTATAACGCGGTAAGATTTTTTGGCTCCCGAGGACAGCGTTATATCGGGGTAGAGGTGTACAGTAAGAAAATCCATTGCAAACAAAAACTGCTGCATAAAGTATCAATAACCAAAATTGCCACGAGGAGCTGAAATTAACGCTGATAGATCCTAAAGGATGAATAAAGTAACAGCATGGACATTAGTTTAATGTGTAAATATTTTTATTCTTATGCTGTATAAAGGGATAAGAAATAGAAACTATCACAATAAAGAATTATGATTTACAGCAAATAAAGATTCTAGTAAAATTACTATTAAACACAATATATTTTACCGAGCATATAAATTATTTAATTAGAAATGTATTTGAATATCCTTTACAAACATGGCCTTTCTATTAATCCTACATGAAATATTTTCCCCAGTGCAATATTATTACCCTCTAAGATTTTTGAAACCTTTGATAACGGGACCCTAAAACTCACCATTGTCTCCTAGTGGGATCAAATGCTTTGTCCATGAGAGAACCAGGATAAATTCTGAGCACCCCATTGGGCGTTGCTATGTAACGGCGGACAATGTAACTGTTCAAGCTACTCATTTCCATTTGTGTCATCCATTCATCTGTGACGTGACTGGTAGCCATTACTTCATTTCTGACAGAGAACTGCAAAACAAAGACAGACCTAGCAGGGTTCCTTTAAGACTTGCATGAAAAGATAATAAGCTGCTTGCAGGGTTTCCTAAAGACCTATCAGAGATAATCTAAACCCAATTACTTCTTTAAAATCTTCTCACACCAGATGGATCTAGCAAATTCCAAGTAAAGAAAAAAGCTTGTTATAATGAAATATTGTTATTATCTGCACAGCTTTTAACATTTGTTTTTCACTTCAGGTAAATATAAATACTGCCCCATTTGTACATAAAACAAAGTTTTCTCATATAAATGCATAAACACACAAAGGTATCTTCTGACCCAATGTTTATTACAGCACCGTTCTGCATATTGTTAATTCTAATTGCAGCTTGTAAACTTTCTTCCTGTGGAAAAGGGCCCCTCCTCCCACCCCTGTGGTCTCTGAGCCCCTTCCTCCCTCCAATTTCTCATGAAGCCCTCATGTCAGAGCCCCCATCCACCCAGTTGAGGAGTGTACAGGATTCCTTTCAACCTAGTTCACACTGCTTCTCCAAGCACTAGTTCACACTGCTTCTCCAAGCCAGAAGGGCTGAGCACAGTGTCTCTACACCAAGAGACGAAAATCCTAGTATCCTACATGCCCAACACTCCCATAGGTCAAGAGCCAACCCAAAGGACACATGTGAAATGGGGACCAGCATGGTGACCAATAAGGGCAGGACGGGGGAAGGGAGGGAGAAGACGGATTTAAATAACATACTTTAAGCCCAGGGTTAGCAATAAGACGGGTGTTGTCGCTGAGGTATGCCGTGTAGTGTTCCACCATCCGTTTGGTCTCAGGTTGGCTCAGATGTTCATATGGAGAAGAAAAACTACCTGCAGACAGCATTACGGTGGGACTTTCTGAAATAACAAAGTATTAGAGGATTAAAAACAAAGCACTATGTTCGGTATATAATACATGCCATCCCATCACAGAACACCATCTGATGTAGTATCCTGTTTGAGACTATAGCTCGTATAATGAAGGTACAGTACTATAGTATGGAGGGTAGGGAATCTCTTCCTGACACAAGCTGATCACCAGTTTTTGCCTGGAAGCATGAGGATTATCATCCCAAATAATAATAGTAAGACTTATAAGCACAGATCATGTCCTCTTTTGTTTTGAAACCTACTTTTCATTTCAAACTTTGGAATGTTATAATGCAAGATACATGGGTTACAATAAAATGTCTATTTCACAGTCATATGAACATGGCTTTGAACAGGCTGGTTATGTGCACCTTTTTGTAAGGTAAGGAGGGTTTGAGTGTCTTGCTGTAGATGGTGGTGCTTTCAGTGTGTTAAGGGAAACAAGCAGATCAGTAACAGCAGCCTCACTTCACTGCCTGTCTAGCCATTATCAGCTGACCGCATTCTGCAGCACTGCAGAAGCAGCAACTCATAAGGTGGGCTGTTGAGGAAGACAGGGTAGTGGCTTAATGGGGATCTTAGCCTTGGGACAAAAAGTGCAAAGGTGCTGGCAAGAGAAGCTGATGAAGGCTGACATTGGTAGAGTGAAGGGATGGCTAAAATGACATGATAAAATAATACAAATAAGTTGTGAAGGTTAGCACAATACATGGAGAATGGGGAAGCCAATGATGAGACTCAAATAACTTTGAGAGAGAAAACGGGGTTTAGGTGGGACTCTGCAGGGGCCACCTCGAAGAACAGCTGTGACTTTCAGGTCATTAACACAGGGAGAGGCACAAAAAACACAAGTCTGACAAAACTGGTGGAACGAGTTTGCTAACATGAACAAGGGGGCAAAAAGAGTGACTACAAGAGATGTTGAGAATAGTCTGGGTGTATGCTTTCATTGAGCAAGAAATGTGATATTTAAAAGGCAAAGCCAAAACAGAACATGAACAAACAAAAATCACACAATGATAATGCAGGGGCTGGATGCTGAGAAATTGGGTTTTTTCCCTTGAATATTTGATAAAGATAATGTTCATCTTATTGTTTTTCTCAGTGTGCAACTGTCTCCAGGGGAAGACATTCCCAGCACCTTAGAGAGACAATACTTAGACAGTGGAAAGGTTCTCCATTTTTCCACACCACTCCCAAAGCATGCCACTGCACATGTAGCAGCCTTATCTACCCCAGTCATCACTTAATAAACTTCTATTGTATTTCCTCATCAGCTTTCCAGCCTAAACTGTCTGAATCAATTATATATTTTTTCTCATAGTGAGTCTCTCAACATTGTTGGCGAGCGTCCCTGGACTTTTTCCATTAATGTCACATCTTTTCTAAGGTGAGACCATTATGCGGTTCCCTTTTATCAAAACTGGGCATTATATTCAAGACAAGAACGTAGTGTTTTACATAATGATACAATAGTTTCCATATCATCATCTAGTTCCTCTGTAATACAGTCCAACATCTTATTAGTTGTTTGGAGCATCACCATACAATGAGCAAATGTCATTGCTGAGTTGTCGAACAATGATGCCTATATCCTTTTTCATGAACGCTTACTCTGTTTATGAGTAATTTAGTTTAAACTCCAGGGAGAAATCAGAATTTTAATCTTCAAATGTGTAAGACTGCAAACCTTTCAAACTTGTATACAACCTCTAGATTCATCTTTTTTAAAAGGATTATAAAAAGTTCTCTCCTTTCTATATATTAAAACTTGTATTATCATATAATTCTGAGGCCAAATTCCTCTGTCCATGACATCAATGCAAATACTGAAATGAATGGAGTTGATTACAAAGTTTGATATATAGAAAGACGAAATATCCTTTTTTGAAAGATGTACTATTGAACTTGAAATTTTTATGTAGGTTTCAGAGGTCTGGAAAATCTCACATTAAAAGATTTCAAAGAATATTAAAATCCTGACTTCCTCATGAGCTATATCTTCTGATTTCTTCACACAGATGGATGATATTAAATATTTATGTCTGTGAAAAATTTGCATAAATCCAAAGTCAACAGACCCAATATACCCTATTTTCTAAGAATTAGACTGTGCAAGTCTCATTTATTTTAATAAGCACTTACTCACCTGAGCAGTCCACGAATTGCAGTAGGAATACTCAGGTGACTAAGTGCCATGAATGTAAGGGTTGCACAGTTTAGCTATAATCAGAAAAAGTGAAGCAGTGAAAAAAGTGAAGCAGGATAGAAAATTTCCCTTGAAAGGTTTTTAAAAAAAATTTTTTTTAAAAGAAGAAATATTTTGACAAGGATTGGAACTAAAGATGTTTTCTATTTTCCAATCAGCTCTACAAAAATGTGCATGAGATAAAGATGAGGTGAGGGATTGTTGTACCTAAGGTCGCCAGCTGCTTGAAGTGCAGACAGGCATTGGGCTGGCCCAATAGATCCAGTCGATGATACAGTAACTTGCTGCTAGGGATGGTGTTCAGATTCTTGAGCTGTTTAACAGGTATTTCTGGCTGTATTACCACAACACAAAGAATGAAGGATGTGTCTTGGGCCTGAAAAACAAGGACTAAAAATTAGACTGAAAAAAAGTTTTAACTAAGGTTTTATCTAATTGATTTTCAATTTCTTTCCCCCTATTCCCCGCCCCCACTTTTTTAATTCCTCAGTTTCTTGTACACTGGAAGGTGTCATCACCTTTACCCATACGCCAAAGCAGCATATTCCCTACTCTCTCTGTGAAATTAATCACCTCTAGAAATTGCTGAATTTCCCCATACTCCAGGAGTAAGGCCCTGATTCTGCAGAGAGAACTTTGTGGGGAGGTGCTGCATGGGTGCCAGGTCATGCCCAAACTGTTCTAAATGCAGGATTGAGGCCTTAGACTTTAGGGTTTCCAATGGCAGCAGTACAGTCCACATAACTAAGGTATGTGCTTTGATCAATTATCCCAAGTGTATTAAAGCCATTGAGTTATACTTAAAAAAAAAAAAAAAAAAGACTTCTTCAAAGTTGATGCTTAGCGCACACATTTTTGTTTTCACATTTTTTTTTAAACATAATATCTAAACTCTGATGCTTTTGTGTGGATACTTCATGAAACTTCATTACGGGCAAGAGAACTGCAGTTCACAAATGGAAACAGAATACAATGTACCTCTTTGTAGCCTGTTTCCCATTTTGAAAAATGCAAATGAACAATAATACAAGGAAATCATCATTATTCCTCCAATCCAGTGTTGGATGGATTGCTTGCTTTGCTGGTTTGAATACTTACGTGCGTCAGGTTAGAAAAACTTGGCAGCAGAATTACCAGACTGTAAGGCTGTCTGATATTTAATGCAGCCTTTCAACCGGGCAACACTAGCTCCAGGAACACACCTACATGAACTTCTAGTACATGATGCCGCTCAGCATAATCTCTTAGATTATATTCAAATTAATTTAGGGAAACGATCCACCAGTACCTGCTAGGTTTGTTGACACAAAGCAATTAGCCAATTATTCTTGGTATTAGCAAAATTTGCCTGCATTATATCTAGTTGTAGATTTCATTTTATTCCCTTGGTCAAGATAAGTACCCAGATTTGTTCACAAAATAAACTGAAAAGCGAATGGGCTGCTAGAATCTTTTTTTCCCCTTGCAATTGGGTAATGATGGTAATGATGCTGGCCTGCCAAATCCTCCCATTAAATATGATCTTTCTAATGATTACAGCAGAATTAAAAGCTTCCATATAGTTTCCATTCCATTTTAATTGATTTTATTCTGTAAGAATCTAGCAATTATGAATTCATCTAGATTATGCACAGGAGTTTTTTGCTCCACTGAGGGTAGTATTTGGGGATATTTTGTTGTTTTAATTGGTGTTGAGAGATTTCTGCAAGGTATTGCATCTGACTTGAATGCAAAATATGTACTGGGGAAAACTAGACAGAGCATTGAAAATAAAATACCTATGAATATGAGAGTACCTGACTCAGCCTTGCATATTACATGGTAGACTCATGCCCTATACAGATATAAGGGTTTCCAGTACTGCATAACTACAACTAATGCTTAAAAGGAAATTTTAATGTCTTGATCATGAACAATGTTGTTAAAGTTTATTCATATTGACGTTTCTATCTAAACTGCATTAAGCAGTACACAGTAGGAAGGGATAATTCAGCATTTAAAATGACACCCATCTACAGCCACCCCAAAAAAAATTTCAGCCAATGATTAGTTTGAAAGTGTCTAATAAAATTAAAAGTTTTTTTCTCTTTTTTGTTAGTATCAGCATTTTAATAATAATAAACTACATGCAAACACTATAGTGTAAGTCTGTAGTTTTATCTTGAGTCTGTGTGTGAAATATGTTCAAGTACTTGAGCTTTGCTCTAAGACTTTATAGTGTGACATAGTTCAGTATAGACTGTCTTCCTTTGGGAAAATATGTACTATAATTGTGCGTGTACATATCTATTATATAACATATAATGGACGTGTACATTAATAGCACACACACTATACACAGGCCTGTATGCATGTGTCTCTGAGGATTAAATTATAATAAATTTGAAGCTACAATTTCATGGAATGTGAGGTTATTTACCATAATAAGAGACACATTCATACTGTTCCTGTATAATTAAAATTCAAACTACTCAAGCTTCAATATATTAACATACATTAAAACTATATGCTACCATTCAAAAGTAAGATCTCTTACCATTTTCCAGGCATAGCTGACGTTGTAGGCTTCTTTTCCAATTTCTCTCAGTTTGTTTACATGCCAAGACAGTGAGGAGTTCACTGGGACTGTAATAATCTGACTGCCCAGAGGGAGGCTACGGGGACAATAAATAATATCCAACTTTTATTCAACACGGAAATAGTTGTGAATCAAACAAAACCATCTGCTGCATTTTTATACAAAAAGCATGATTAGTCATGAAAGGGCTGGATAAAATCTGCATTTAATTAAGAAAGAACAGAATGCTTTGGTTTGCTGTTCATGCATTTATCTATTTTAACCGTAATTTACACTCATGTATAATGTAGTAAGGTTTGAGTAAGAGTTGCCTTTTCCAGTACAAATGGTGAAGCAGAGGTAACTTGGTTCCTAAATTTCTACTCAATAATTCATAGAGACAGTGTTTAATTCATGCTCGGGCTTGCCAGGGCTGAGCCCTGGCACCTCTGGGCTTGGCCGTTCATAGCCCTGGCACCTCTGGGTTTCCTGCGTCAGTTATGAAAGTAAAAAAAAATTGCCTGAGCCCCAGCACCTAATTGCTTGAGCTCCATCACCTCTTTCATTACCAATTAAGCACTGTTCATAGAGAACACAATTATAGTTTGTTCTGTCTTGCGATAATGTTGATATTGGAATGGCACTAATTCGCTCTCTATTTCAAAGGAACAAAGGGTCGACAGATTTAAAATTAGATCTAAATTACCATTTGCAGAACTGTTCACACACATCATGCTGTATCTCTGCCTATTCCATTTTTGTTAGCAGGATAGGATATTGTCAGTTACTCTTGAAGTTTCAAGAGTTTTCTATATTTTAATACCATGCTTGCCTTTAAGAATGGAGCTAAGAAGTAGAGCTGGAGTGCAGGGAACATAAATACAATATGTACAAGCACCCTTCTGAGACTGTTGTTGGAGTGAAGTTCTTTGCCTTCACCGTGTCACATTACACCTCTACCCCGATATAACGTGGCCCGATATAACATGAATTCGGATATAACACGGTAAAGCAGCGCTCCGGGGGGGGTGGGGCTGCGCATTCCGGAAGATCAAAGCAAGTTCGATATAACATGGTTTCACCTATAATGCGGTAAGATTTTTTGGCTCCCGAGGACAGCGTTATATCGGGGTAGAGGTGTAGTCGGGGTTGGCAGCTCTTGTTCTTCATCTCCAAACATTCCTGTTAAGTGTGTCTTCCAAGCTGACACCAACCTTCTTCATGTCCTCCTTCAGCGTCTTGAACCACCTTTTTCTGGGTCTTATAGTCTTTGTCCTGTAACTACTCGATTGTGTACTCTCCGACCAACATATTCGACGTCTCGTCATCTCGTACGTCCTGCCATCTCAGTCGACGTGCCCTTAGCTTTTCCATGATGGGGGATTACCTGCATCTTGGCTCATACCATTTCACTGTGTAACCTGTCAGTTCTTGTCTTACCCACTCTCATTTCAGCAGCATGAAGTAGTTGTACTTCTCTCTTCCACACTGGCCAGCATTCCAACCCATACGTCATGGCTGGGCTAATCATGATCTTATACATTTTGCTCTTGAGTTTAATTGGCACATTCTTATCACACAGAATTGCTGTCAGTTCCCTCCATTTGCACCAAGTGCTTTTCATGCGACTTCTAGCACTCACATTCTTATTGTAACTCAATACTATTTTTATTGGTTTCTTGTTGTCCCTTTTCAATGAAGCCTCATATGTATTCAGTCTTCTCTTGGTTGGATTTATAAACAATTTTCTTCTAATGCAGCCCTCTGTCTTTCTAGATACCTTTCCAGTTCACGTTTATCTTCCCAACACAAAAATGTCACCTGCGAAAAGCATGTTCAATGGAGCTTCTCTCCTGCATCAAGGTGTTCATTACAATCACATTTAGGAATGGGCTTAAGATTGATCCTTGATGTAGACCTATTCTCATAGTGAATGGCTCATTGCAGCTGCTTCTTGTTGTTGTATTACCCTCATACATGTCCATAATAGTCTGAACATGCGCCTCTGGAAGGCTGTGCGACAACAGGCACCACCATATCAGTTCGCTAGGAACTCTGTTATAAGCCTTCTCTAAGTCCACAAACACTAAATTCAGTTTCTTGCATTTCTCCCTGTACTTCTCCTGCAATATTCCCAAACCCAAACTGGTTGTTGCTTACTTGGTAATCTAGCTCTTCATGAAGTCTTTTCTTGATAATTCTTTCCAACCATTTCATCCTTTGACTCATTTTGATGGGTTTTTGTTATATGTATTATATTGATTTATTTATTTAGATTTAAAATAAAAGAGTGTCACTTATCCAAGGCTCATTTACAATACAATAAATATAATAAAATACCAGCAACATTAATCATTTCACCAAGAACTCAGCCAGCCAAGCACTTATAGAAACCCCTTTCCACCCCTTTATCATTCACACACATCCTCAGCCCTGTCTAACAACCATATCAAACTCACCTATGCCTTGTTTCCAAATGTTTTATTTAAACAATAAAACAAACGATCAATTCCAAGATGACACATCCCATGCAACATCAAGCAACCTCACCACCTTATCTTGTGTATTCCTTCTTCTGAAGGTAGCTCCCCTCCTCATAGACTTTCAGGCCAAAAGGGCCCATCATGATAATCTAGTATGACCTCCTTCACATTGTAGGCCACAGAACCTCACCCACCTACTCCTGTAATAGACCCTAACCACTGGCTGAGTTACTGAAGTCTCAAAAACTAACAGCAAACAATTTTTAAGTATATCAGAAACAGGAAGCCGTCCAAACAATAAGTGGGGCCACTGGATGATCAAGGTGTTAAAGGAGCATTCAAGGAAGACAAGGCCATTGCGGAGAAGCTAAATGAATTCTTTTCATCAGTCTTCACTGCATAGGATTTGAGGGAGATTCCCATACCTGAGATTGTTTTTAGGTGACAAATCTGAGGAAGTGTCCCAGGTTGAGGGGGTCAATAGAGGAGGTTTTGGAACAAATTGATCAATTAAACAGCAATAAGTCCCAGGACCAGATGGTATTCACTCAAGAGTTCTGAAGGAACTCAAATGTGAAATTGCAGAACTAACAACTTTGGTATGTAACCTATCGCTTAAATCAGCTTCTGTACCAGATGACTGGAGGATAGCTAATGTGACACCAATGTTTAAAAAAGGCTCCAGAGGTGATCCTGGCAATTACAGGACGATAAGCCTCATTTCAGTACCAGGCAAATTGGTTGAAACTATAGTTAAGAACAGAATTATCAGACACACAGATGAACATGATTTGTTGGGGAAAACTCAACACAGCTTTTATAAAGGGAAATCATGTCTCACCAATCCATTAGAATTCTTTGAGGAGGTCAGCAAACATGCCGACAAGGGTGATCCAGTGGATACAATGTACTTGGACTTTCAGAAAGCCTTTGACAAGGTCCCTCACCAAAGGCTCTAAAGCAAACTAAGCTGTCATGGGATAAGAGGGAACGTCCTCTTATGGATCAGTAACTGGTTAAAAAAAAACAAGAAATAAAGGGTAGGAATAAATGATCACTTTTCAGAATGGAGAGAGGTAAATAGCTGTGTCTTCCAGAGATCTGTGCTGAGACGACCAGTGCTGTTCACCATCTTCATAAATAATTTGGAAGAAGGGATAAACTGTAGGGTGGCAAAGCTTGCAGATGATCCAAATTACTCAGGATAGTTGTGTCTAAACCAGACTGCGAAGAGTTACAAAGATCTCACAAAGCTGGGTGACTGGGCAACACAATGGCAGATGAAATTCAATGTTGATAAATGCAACGTAAGAAACATTGGAAAGTATAATCTCAACTATATAGACTAAATGAGGGGGTCTAAATTAGCTGTTATCACTCAAGAAGGCATTGTGGATAGGCCTCTGAAATCATCGGCTCAATGTGCAGCGGCAGTCAAAAAACCTAACAGAATGTTAGGAACCATTAGGAAATGGATAGATAAGACGACGGTAAATATTATAATGCCATTATATAAATCCATTGTACGCCCACACCTTGAGTACGGTATGCAGTTCTGGTTGCCCCATCTCAAAAAAGATAGATTAGAAATGGAAAAGGTACAGAGAAAGGCAACAAAAATTATTAAGGATATTGAACAGCTTCCTTATGAGGAGAGATTAAAAAGTCTGGGTCTTTTCAGCTTGGAAAAGAAATGACTGAGGAGGGATATGATAGAGGTCCTTAAAATCATGAATAGTGTAGAGAAAGTGAATAAGGAAGTGTTATTTACCCCTTCACATAGCAAAAGAACTAGGGGTTACCCAAGGAAATGAATAGGCAGCAGGTTTAAAACAAACAAAATTAAGTACTACTTCACACAACGCACAGTCAACCTGTGGAACTTGTTGCCAGGGAAGTTGTGAAGGCCAAAACTATAACTGGATTCAAAAAAGAATTAGATAAATTCATGAAGGATAGATCCATCAATGGCTATTAGCCAAGATGGTCAGGGATGCAACTCCACCTTTTGGGTGTCCCTAAGCCTCTGACTGCCAGATGCTGGGGCTGGATGACAGGGGATGGATCACTTGATGACTGCCCTGTTCTGTTCATTCCCTTTGAAGCATCTGGCATTGGCCACCATTGGAAGACAGGATAATGGAGTAGATGAACTATTGGTTTGACCCAGTATGGCTGTTTATGTTTTTAAGTCCTCAAATCTTGATTTAAATACTTCAAGATTCAGAGAATATACCATTTACTCTAGTTCAAACCCGCAAGTGACCCAAGCCCCACATTGAAGAGGAAGGCGAAAAACCTCAAGGGTCTCCGCCAATCTGACTTTGGGAAAATTCCTTCTTCACTCCAAATATAGTCATCAGTTAGACCCTGAGCATGTGGGTCAGACCCACCAGCTGGACTCCTGGGAAAGAATTCTCTATAGTAACCTCAGAGCCCACTCCATCTAGTGTCCCATCTCTGCCATTGAAGATATTTGCTAATACCAGTCATGGTTGGCCATACATCATTGTAGGCAACCTCATCATACCATTCCCTTCATAAACTTATCAAACTCAGTCTTATCAAACCAAACAAGTTAGGGTTTTGGGCCACATTCCCCCTTGGGAAGACTGCTCCAGAACTTCACTTCTCTGATGGTTAGAAACCTTCACCTCAGGCCTAAACTTGTTGATGGCCAGTTCATATCTATTTGTTCTTGTCCCAACAATTGTCCCTTAGTTTAACTCCTCTCACTCCCTGATGTATTTACAGAGAGCAATCCTTTCATAAGTCTTCATAATAATGAATACCAATAGGAGCACAGCATTTTTGAAAATCTGTCCATTTATTTAGGTTCTTGAGTACGGATTAGGGCACTAACTTTAGGCATCTATTTCATTAAAATTATGGCCCTCAGCTTTATATAGGAGTTTTCATTAATGAAAATGGTACTAAATTTTTGGCTGGGATTTTCAAAGAAGCCTAAAGGATATTTGCCCAAATCCCATTGAATGTAGGTGCTTAACTCTCTCAGGCTCCTTTGTTAGCCTTGATCCTACCCTACAACACAGTAGCCACCCTATAATACAGGCTGTAAAATGTGTCACTTCTGGAAGACTAGCATCCCAGATTAGGTCTTTGTAATTTTAAGGCCAGTGGGTATAATAATAGTCTTTGAAACTCTCTCTGCCACCCCACCAGGCACTTGCCAAACTGCTGTAGTATCAATTTTCCCATGTCATCATCACTGATCTCAAAGCTGACCTGACTCCACAGATCGGAGTTGATTCAGTTTTAATACTACCTTACTCCTGAGCTTCTTGTAAGCAGAGAATGCCAATCCTGTCTATTGAATAGCAATGTAGATTAAAAAAAAAAAAACAAAAAAAAACAGGCAATTTAATTAAAGACACTAAACTTAGCCCACTGAGCAGATTTATATTCCAATAGCAAACCGGATTAAAAAAATAATTCTAGACAAGATCAAACAATCTCAGATACAGAGAATTTTAACAGAGTGACACAACTCAGTTTTTGCATATGAACACAGCATCCTGACTATGCACGAGGTGAACACTACTAGGAGCATAATCATGACATGTGCTACGTGCCGACACAGGGAAGTATGGGGTCACAAGGGCCCCCTCTTATTGTCACACCTGGCTACGTCTATCATAGCATCAGGGAGAGGGGGCAGCCTCTATGGAATTGATACTACCCCCTTCCAACCTAGGTCAATGGGCCCAGACTGAGTCTTTGCTCCATGGCTCCCAATGTGCTGGCCTGCGCAGCTGAGCTAGCATGCCAGTGCAAGTAATCTGCAATGGATTTTGGGCTGGCACAGATTACTTTTCCCTTGGAGCAAGGCAGAAATAAGGCATCAGATTGTGACTCTCCAAGTCACAGTACAGACCGTAATCCGCTCCTGGGACCGGGAAACTATGTGCTGTCCTTTACTCAGAGCTGGTGGCAAACCCACAAACTAGCCCTAAATTCGGGGAAGGACGTATTGTATTACCCTTGATGTTCTACACTTAGTGTACATTTATAGTGCAACTACCCTTTCTAGAACGTCATTGTTATTACATGGAACTCCTGTGTAGTCCTTCATACAAATTTTTTTCTCCAAGACAAAGCAAGTATTTCTAATATTGAAATGGTGTGTTTTATAAAGAGAGCTCAGCTAGTTGTACGTGCACAGAATTGCAAGTCAGAAGCTCCCATGTTCTAATCCTGATTTGGACACAGATTTCCTCTGTGGCTTTGGGCAAATCATTTAACACCTCTTCTTTCATTTCCCCATCTGCAAGTGGAGGATCAGGATACTTATAGACTTTAAAGAAGAGTTGTGAAGATGGAAATTTATAAAGTCCTTTGAAGATGAAAGGCTCTACTTAAGCGCTAAGTACTACCATTATTTTTAATTGGGGCATTTTTGGATTGTAAATTTAGAAATAAAGATAGAAAAATTGAGATTCCACAAGAAAAAATAACCCAAAATGCAAATATTCAGTCGGAGGCGGAACACTGAGAAGTAGTAACAGTGAAGGGGCCCAAATGGACAGCAAATCACACATGGTTTAGCAATGTGGCAACAGCCAGCAAAATAGGCCAATGCCAGATTCTCTCTCTCTCTAAATCATGTATTGTCACATCAACCCCTACTTGGGACAGAGGGTGTGCCTCTGTTCTCTGTGAAGTTGCGCACATAGATAGAGCAGGGCTGGCTTTAGGGCGATTCACCCGATTCCCCCGAATCGGGCCCCGCGCTCCTAAGAGGGCCCTGCAACATCCCTAAGGACCCTCTACTGACGTGCCGCCGAAGGCACCGGCAGCCAATCGAGCTGCCGCCCAAGACAGCGGCGGGACTTCAGCGGCAGCTCAATCGCTGCTGTGGAAGAAGGACCATCCGCCGACGTGCCGTCAAAGGCACCGGCAGCCAATTGAGCTGCCGCCGAAGTCCCGCTGCTGTCTTCGGCTCTTCCGAATCAGGCTCCGCAGTGCCTAAAGCTGGCCCTGGCAGGGAGGAGTTTCTCCCCATATGTCTAACGCCAGGTATATGCTAATGAGTTAGGTTGACCCAGCTACGTCGCTCAGGGGTGTAAAAGATCCCCACCCATGAGCAGCACAGTTAAGCAGACTTAACCACCGGTGTAGAGATTACTAGGTTGATGGAAGAACCCCTCCCGTTGCCGTAGCGAGTGTCTACACTGAAGTCCTACAGCAGCGCAGCTGTGCCGCTTTAGCAGTTTAAGTGTAAACCTAGCTTCACTCAAAAGCCCTTTGAAGTTTACAGAAAAACTCCCAAGGACTTCAGTGGATTAGGATCAGGGTCTTTCTGGATATGGTGCAACCATTCCCAGCACTTCCAGTAATGGTATGGGCCCACACCTGCCAGTGTGATCCCCACCCCTGCCAGTGTGACTTTGCATGCATTCTGTGTGTGACGTCACGCTGCAGGAGGACACCACTTTGAAGAATGCGCCACCATGATCCCACTGGTGTGACTGCATGGATGCCATTTTGAAGAGCGCGCTGCTCCGAGCCCCACCAGTGTGACATCACGGGCACAGTGCATATGACGTCAAACTGGGGGCGGCAGTGTAGAGCACTCTTCAAAATAGTATCTCCCATCCGTGATCCAAGACAAAATCATGTCTGATTTTGTCTCAATACCAGACAGGGAACCATAGAAAAAAAGGACTGTCCGGCTTAAAACCGGACAAATGGCCTGCCTAACCACACCTGAAACAGTGAAAAGGATCTAAAAGCTGGAGAATGTTCAGAAAAGAACTGCAAAAATTACTAAGGAGGAGGAGGATAGGGGCTGGAAGGATTGAGGAAACATTTCAAGCAGCAGATATGCATACAGTAGTTTGATTTGAACCCCATGTAGTGAGAGTAGTTATTTAGGGTATTAACTAGAAATTACTGTCTGAAATATAGGAAGGAAAAATCCAGACTGAGTATCAAGGAAAACTTCCCAACAATCAGCTCTACTATTAGATTAGAAGTCTCCCCCAAAGGAAGCTGTGGAAACTATCGCTTGGCACATTTAAGGATAGAATGGATAATGTGGTAGAAAACACAGTCCTGCATTGGCAAGAGAATGGGACCTCGATCCTAGCAGGGATCTCTGGGTACTACTGCAATAGAAATATTAAACACAGTAATTATAATTCTATAAAGTAGCTCCTATTAAAGGGTTTTGTACAAACACTTCTGAGTCCTGTGAATCATTGATCTTAGCAAGCTATGACTTGAGCCTCAGTTCTTCCTTACCTAAGGATGTTCTGCCGAACCAATTCAAATTTTGGAATGTTCTCATAATGTATGATGTCAGTGTGAAGTGGTGGTTCAGACAGCAAATAAGGCCTTGTAAGGGATGGATGCATAAGAGTATACCCTAAAAAGAACAAAAAATGTGTTCAGTACAAGTGTTGGTTCAGTATGTAATAAGCAGAGTAAGAACATAAAAACAAGTATACTGACTACATGTATGAAAGTCCTCCAATTTACTTAAGAAACTACCCTAACAGTAACCATACCATCACATCATAAAGCAGTTTAGTGACAACAAAATTTTAAGAACTTGGTAAATTGACTCAAACAAAAAATGACTAAAATGACCATGGCATAAAAAGTGAAAAAGCTTATAATATAAACAAATTTACGTGCAAAAGCTATAGTTTTGGCTTTCTGGCCTACAACTGTGAAAACAATCTATTTCATAGCAACATTTTTATATCAAGACCCCTGTATAATAAACGCAAACCATAAATCTGCTTATATACCCTATCTGTCCAACAATTACTGTTAGACAGAACTACTTAAACAACTGACACACAATCTGTTGAGAAACGGCACTGTTCACTTTACCATTCTACTTACAAATAAGGAGCAGAATAAGGAGTTGGTTTTCTACAGTCTAATTTCACCAAACAGGAAGATAATGTATTTATGTATCTGAACCACAAAATCACCTTTATTGTCTATGAGAAATGTGTAGGAAGCCAAAGAATCTTGATAATAGGTCACATCCTCCAAGATATATGCCAGGTTAACATCCACTCCCACAATCCCAAGCAGCATGTTTCCAAAGTAACAAGGTTTACTTACAGTCATTATCAGACCTTGAGATAAAAGGAAGAGCACAGAAAGCATTAGCAATAATGAACTTGCCAGTTAATTAACGTAAAGTATGTTCTTCACCAGTTCTGTGCTAAATAGAAAAGAGGGGACGTTAACTTGTGTAACCAGGTGACAAAAACATCCTTTTGTCCAGCATATTCAATTTTCAAAAAGTTGCTGCCGTACCACGTAGGAGTATTTTCAAAAGCTAAAATTAAAAGACTTAGCAAGTAGGCCCCGATTAAACTTCCAATGAAGTCAAAAGACTCCCACAGGTTTCAATGGGTGTTGGATCAAGTCCATATGTAGGCTTCCCTTCGTAAGTCACAGTTCTGAGAATTTGTATGTATAATTCAATATTCAGTTCAAATTGAATATGTATAATTCAACCCTCTGTAAAAGTTAAGGCAATTTTAACCCATTTGTTGCAATTGTTTCCCTAGGACAATGTGACATGGTGACCCAGTGAAGTACCAGTAGTAGTACTATGATCATCTGATTCAATAAATGCTTTCAGTGATAGATGTCAAACAATGGTAATGCTTGAAGCCCATGATTAAATAACAGCATTAAAGATAACAGAAGCTCTACCAGCTTTGACATCTCTTACTGACAGTACTTCTGGCGTCAGAATATAGAACTGCTGCTAGCATTTAACAGTAGAAATGTGGGAGTCGGGGCTTGGTGACAGGATGGAAGGCTGAGAAGTGGAGGTTTAGGAAATAAGTGAATTATGCTACAACAGTTGTATTCCCCTTCTTCCATCCTCATATTAGCCACTTTTTACCTTTCTGGTGGTGAGTTAAAGTGGTACATTGAATATACCATAAGTTATTAAAACACACAGTGCATTTTACATTTTGTTTCTTCATCGGCACACAGTTAGATGCCTTAGGGACAAGAATGTGAATTAATATAAAAAGGACCTAGATTCTCTCTCTCTTTTTTTTTTTTTGTATTTTTCTTAAGGTCTGTATTTTTACTTTCCCCCCCCCATGCACCTATAAAAATGTTAACAAGAATAAAAAAATCTTACTCGTAAAATATGAATTGGGATGAATTTTGCTCATCTGATTATATATGCAGTATGTCAGCCTCTTCTTCTTAACTAAATCCCAACACAGCCATTGTACTGGGTATTATAACCAAAAGCATTACAATGATTTTTAGAAACCTCTCAATGCCTGAGGTAAAAATGTAGCAGTCCATTTCTGTCTTACTTTGTGTGTCATGGTCATATGGAAACTCACTCACCCCTTTAATATAAAACAGATATCAAATTCATCTCCATAAATGAGGTTTTTTTTAAAAAAAATAAAAAAACCTATGCACACTCCTAATTATGTAAGCCAAATCTATTCAATTGTACCATTTATAATCCTTATGTTGTACAACTTCTCCACTATGCTTGGATGTGGATGTGTGAGAGATGAGTGGCAATGCATCACGCAGAGTGATGAGAAAAGAGAAAACTAGGCTATCATTCTGCATGAGAGAAGCATGTCCAGGAGCAATCTCAGAACACAGGGAGGACTTCAGACTCTCAAGAGTCACTCTGATCAGATGGCAAATAAGGACAACCTGCCTTAGAGGTCTGGAAACCCTGCTGAGCCATACTCCTTAACCCCTCCTCCATAACATCACACACAAGAAAATGGAAAGCCATGTCCAGAGAAATGCAGGAGTTGTTAAGCTTATTAACTCTAATAGTTAGTAATTACCAGGGGCGGCTCTATATTTTTTGCCGCCCCAAGCACGGCAGTCAGGCCGCCTTTGGCGGCGTTTCTGCAGGAGGTCCGCCCCAGTCAAGCGGATTCAGTGGCGGTTCTGCGGGTGATCTGCCGGTCCCGTGCCGGCATACCCGCCGCCGAATTGCCGCCAAAACCGCGGGACCGGCGGACCTCCCGCAGAAACGCCACCGAAGGCAGCCTGACTGCCGCCCTCACAGCGACCGGCAGGCCGCCCCCTGCAGCTTGCGCCCCTGGTAATTACATAGCACCTTAAATCTTCAAAGCACTGGGAAAACACTAATGCCATTCCCAACTCCCCTATAAAGTAGGGTTTTTTCCTCCTCACTTTACAGAAACATGAGCAGAGGCAGAGAAGCATTGCTTTATAGGCTAGTACTCTATCTCACAATGACATTCATGCCAGTGCAAGAGCCTATATTAAAGACCCTCCAAGTCCCAACTCCTCCCATAAGCATGTGAAAGGGGCCACATATGGAACACCGGGGCCTTTGCATCACTTTTTATGAGGGCTCTGTGCAGGACTGGCTGCATGTTTCTTGCGGTCCTAGGCAAACATTTACACATGACATCATCCCCTCATCTTCTGCATAGTTCCATCTGATTTCTCTATTGCAACCAAGTAAAATAAAACATGTGAACATTAGGGTTTATACAGGGTTTAAGCAACAGGTCAGATTCACGTCCACAACTGCGCTATATCAGCACAAAGTGGTCTGTAACTGGTGGATCTGGGCAATGTATTTGGGGAAACACTCCATTGATGTACAGCCATCATAGAGACTCCGATTTCATCCTACTCCTGGCCCCCAGGCAAACATGGTGTAGTAACCAGGATGTTGCTGCTGATACCTGGCTTCCGGAATGGCCATTCATGCCAGGCTTCAGGCGGCCCTGTCTTGTGCTGAGGACAACCACATTCCTACGTCTTTTTTGAGCACAGCTTAATCAGAACAGGGAATCTGGTCAAATGTTTAGCAGTTCCCCCTGATATGCGGGGTCCTTCCCTAACCCTGTATGACTGCTGGAACCTCCTGGAGTCCTACGCTTCCAAACCTAGGAAGGTGTTGGGTAAAGAGTCCAGAGCAGCTGCTAAGCTGTTTGGTGAGATGCCGCTCCATACCTCAGCTACTGTGGGGAAGGAAGGAAAAGAAGAAGGAAATGTCCAGCAGGAACAAGCCCTCATGAAGTTGTGTGCATGGCTCCAGTATCTGAGGAAGGAAGGGGGATTTTGGCATCTGACAGGAATGCCACTTCCTCCATTATGCTGTCCTATGCACCCGTGGTCTGCTTAGAGGGCAACACCAGCTCTGAATGGGCCAACTGGAGTGCAGGGGCGGCCAGGGCTACCATTTCAGCCTGGAACCGTGCTCCCACAAGCACAGAGGAGTTTCCTATACAAATCCAAATGACTGACGCTGTATCAGTATGCCCCTGAGAGACAATTTCACCCTTCAATCTACATCCATTAAATGTCACCTTACCCACACTTTCCATAAACAGGCCCCGGTGGGCGTAAAACTTTACATGTAATCCCTGCAAGAAGGACTTAATTTTACACATCCCTTAGGGACCATCCTAAAAGCACCACCTTATCTGTTGGCTAGAAACCTGGGGACGGGCAGGCAGGCAGGCAGGCAGACGGAAGCCTAACCTCTCTTTTTTTACCTGCTCAATTTCAGATTTTCTAAGCACTTACCGTCTCCCATTTCATCTGAGAAGGGCAGACTGAAGACTGCCTCATCAACCATTCGGTTGGGGAGGTTTGTATAAAATCGACCCACTGTGGTTTCCAAGTTACTGAGCTGGTTCAAGACCATCATACTCCCCTTGATCACAGGTAAGGCAGTTCGATCAGGCACTCCATACTTCACTGAGTTCTGTTCTGCCAGATCTCGGAGAAATGCCAGTTCTTTTAAGCCTGTCACTCCCTCTGAAAAAGAGATATTGCCAGGATGAGGGAGGAGAAAGTAAGAAATTTAATTTCAGTTGAGTCTCCTACATCTTACTCCAAATTAAAACTACAGTACAGTACGTACTTTGTGTTGCCAACTCATGCAGTTAGTCTGAACACGGTGAATGCCTATTTAAGTGGAAGTGTGGAGTACTGTTTAGTGACTAATACTGGTTGGGTGAATTATAATGTAGGTATAATCAGTCACTACAGGATTTAAAAGGTGTCCACTCAGATAATGTTCCACTGTACAGAAACTCAAGATGGTTGCTCCATGTCACTATTTAGATATTTTTTACCCCCTTTTTTTTTTTAAACAGAGAGCTTTGTGTATCCCATTGTCTCCCACCAGTGGCTAGTCCATGTAGAGATTTATTAATCTGCTATGCAGCCTTGGAGTTAATAGACCTTGTCCTTTAGCTCAAGCAACAGTGTCTCATGCTTTTAGATACAGATCTGCCAGGATTCAGTCCCTGCAGATGACCTAACAAAGGGAATTCTTGAAAGTGGGGACCCAAATGGGAATTTCATCTGCTATATAGCCACACAGTGTGTTAGTGTGGGTTGCATGCACATTCTCCGTGGCCAGGTATAAGCTTCCCTGGATGGGGTGTGTGTACAACCCATGCTAATATGACAGTCTACTGCTTTCTGTGCTACAGATATTTTTGAAAAAAGGACTATGATTCCACTGGGTCAGTGTGCGTACCTTTAACTTTATTCTTGGCTTAAGCCCCAGTTCAGCAAAGCACTTAAGCACATGCTTGACTTCAAGCTCAGACTTAAATCCCATCAATATCAATAGGAGCTAAACACTTACGTGTTTGCTGAGTTGGGGCCTTAATAGGGAAACTCTTCCAAATTCAGTCTTGGTGTCAGAGGGTGAGGCTCCAGCAAAGTCTATGGTTACACCATGTATTGAATTTGCCCCATGGTGCTTGGCATTCAGCATTTCAGGCAACATATATAAATCAGATCATTTGAATTTAGGTTTGCAAACATATGACTAAGTAGTTTTATGCCCCAAATAGGAAACTGTTATAATCTGGGGAATGACCTCTGGATTCTAAGGGCCAAAACTCACTTTTGACCCTTTCAAACAGACACAGAATAACACTGCACCGGGTTACTAGAGAATTTTAATCTACCAGAAATTTGGCACACATTTCTTACCGTTCATGAGTGCATAAGTGAGAATCATTACTGAGTTATTGAGGAAACTATTTTCTTCATTGATGACACGGAGAGTAGCCTTTTTATCATCATCTGAAGCATCTTTTGATGTAATCCCAGCTGACAGATAAATTATGACCATATCTGTATCTAATCAGAAATATATATGGCAAACAGTATATTAGATTCCAATTTACTCGAGACATTCAGCAATGCAGTAAAAATCCTTATATCAGTAAAAGAAGATAAATGTGAAGTTATCAGCAACCTTACTTATAAGAGTGGATGAAATGCATGAAAACACTCACTGTGTGGTTGTGAAGGCCTTTATAATTCCCAATGCACTTTCAGTTCCCACAGTTTCAGCTAACAAAGATTCACGAGTTTCAGCTCACACATTCTAACACACTATATAGTTTTCTAGTCCAGGCTGTGATTTCTTGGGCTAGACAAGTTCTGTCCTGGTCAGAACATGGAAGGGAAACAATCAAGGAACACAGAGTCCTGCAGGAAGTTGTTTTGGTGATTCAGTACAGTGACACTCCTCCCTTGAGAGGGACAGCTTCATCCCACAGGGACAGCCCTGAGCTTTCTCTTAGCTGAGACCTAAGGTGCATGTAGTTACTCAAGGTCCTGTGGCAGGAGTTGGGGTGTTAGCCCCCAATAATAAAATTTCCCTATAAGTAATTACATTTTGCCTACCTTAGATCTCCATGCCATTTTGGCTGGTTGGAGTATTCTTCACTTTTTGTCAAACACTGCTAAATAGTGAAATGTCTGCTATGTCCCACCCCAGGGATGGATGCACTTGAGTGATTCCTATATTTAAAGAGCTCTTGGTGGCTTTCCAGCTAACACAGGAGTTGTGTGGAGGGTTACTGCACTAGTGGCAGTTGTCAGCAGCTGCCTGTAAAAGTAACTCTTATACCTCCGTTTGTACTTTGGCCACCACCTGTCTGTGATCACCCACCATGTCTCCCACCTATTCCCAATACGACCCCATTTATAATAGCATATATTAGCATTTGCTAGATCTGAGCTGTGCTGCTTTTACATTGTTGAAATTTAAATAGGTTCCCCCGTTACTATTTCGTATCCCCCCCAAAACCATAACCCTCTTCCATAGTTACACAGAATGAAAGGAAATGGACACATAAAAGGACTCTGCATTGAAACTGAAATGGAATATGGATCATTATTTAAGTAGTGTTACTGAACATTTCATAGCAGATATCATATTAGTAGAGGAGAATCGTGTGTGTCACACACACACATATTTTACTAATTAGTTGCGGCCATGAAGCTTCTTGTTAAAATTATTAAAGCAAGAACAGAATTTGTCCTTCTACTGTCTGGAGAAATATGCATGGGGCTAACTCACAGATTGAATAGTCAGAGAAGGCTCTGTGGCACTCAGTAGCCATCACCCTTATTTATGCTATTCAGTAAAGAAAGGGTCCCTTTCACTCTCTTCAATTTGTAGCTAAGTGGACGTACACTGAACTGTTTTCTGCTTCTCCCCATTTTTCTTTTGCAAAGGAACTCCAGGAGCAACTGGGTGAGTTTGACTCATTTACTGAATAGTTACAGTCCACAGAGCAAACTTTGTGGCCCCTCTATGGTTTGCAAAAGCCCCAACTGCAGCAGGAATGCTCTCATTACGCGGCCTGTGAGTCAGTGAAGAGGAACAAAAGAAATCCGAACAATGTTATTTCTCATCTCTTCAGCAGGAAAAAGTTGGCTAGGCACTAGGCTATAGGGCAGGGGCTGGTGATGAGGAGGAGTAAGAAGGTTATATTAACTCTTTATTATGCACTGATGTGACACTGTGGAATACTGTGTCCAGTTCTGGTATTCACACTTGAAGAAGGAAGTTGATAAATTGGAGTGAGTTTGATTCTGCATTTCCCAGCAGCTCACAGCACCTGCATTTTTAGTGTAGCATATCTGATAATGTCATGAAATCTTCAGTAGAGAAAATAAAGTACACTTTTGCCTGGTTTCAAAAATAATCATTTTGTTGTTGTTGCAAAATTTCTTGTTCAGAAGTCCTGGTGAAGCAAATCAGTGGTTTGAGCATTGGCCTGCTAAACCCAGGGTTGTGAGTTCAATCCTTGAGGGGGCTATTTAGGGATCTGGGGCAAAAAAAATAGTTGGGGATTAGTCCTGCTTTGAGCAGGGGGTTGGACTAGATGATCTACTAAGGTCCCTTTCAACCCTGATATTCTAGGATTTTGGGGTGGAATGTTTCTGGTCACACTAACTTGAGATGACTTCCTTGTCGGCATTCTGGCTCCCTATGTGAATGGGTGTACAATGGTAATGTGGGGGAAAGAGATTCTTACACCCTCACCCCCTCCAGTGCTGGGGCAGTCAGAATTTAATCCATGGCTTATGTGTTTGTACAGCTCCTAGCACAATGGGGTCCATGACTAGGGCTCCTATGTAGTATGGTAATACAATAACAAACACCACCACCACCACTTGATCTTTGGGATCCTAAAGGATGGAAGGCACTATGGAAATGCAACATTATATGTTATAAGTTTGAAGAATAAGACATGACACATACTTACCATTCATCACTAAGTCATTTTGCCCTACTTAGACTGAACACATATCAACATATTTTTCAAGCTGTAAAGAATGTCTTATGTTAACGGCCTATCTCAAAGCCTCAAGGAAATTCAAATGAATGCTTACGCTCCATCCTATAGTTCAGCATTTAAAGCATCTTATGTATCAGTTAGGGATCATACATCGGTCCTACAATACCAAAGCACACTGAAGCATATTTCTGAAAGACTGCTAGCTTACCTCTCAATTCCCTTGCTTTGGTGGAAATGTCAAGTCTTGCCCGACTGATTTAAAAAATATATATATTTTCGAACATCAGTTTGCTGTTTTGTGTGTTCTGAACTAATGGCCTGAAAACAATTTAAATCAAAAGTGTTTTTTGATGCAAAGAAGCACCTGAAACTTCTATTCTCCTTTCCTTTTTTATTTCCCCCCTCCCCTCACCCTCACTCTTTAACTAGAGACAGCTTTTAAATCTAATCTGGTTTAAAAAAAACACTCCTCCAGGAGTATCCTCTTATTTCCGGGAAAGGTTTTATGACAATTAGCCGGTTCTCCTACACAGTTAATGAACCACATTTTCCTTCCTACAATAGCACTGGGGTAAAAAAAATTTTTTTTTTTTTTCAATACAAAGCCCTTAACTCTCCCAAGAGCCCGGTCTTTAAATTTTCTCCACTTGTGGAGCAGGCTGTGCATTACTCGTCCACCTGGTGTGTCCTGTAAATCCAGAAGCTACAGGAGTTTTGTGGCTGTGGTGTATATATACCGTTTGCAAAGCACTTTATAATACTTTGGGATTAAAGGCACCACATGAACATAAAATAATTACTGAGCTGCTGGTGACACCAATATAATAAATATTGTCAGAAGGCTGGGGAACGCAGAAACGTCCATCTTTTCAGTATAATTCTTATCTTACACACCAGGAATGCCTCAGTTTTTTCCATTATTAATTTACTTTTCTGCATGTGAATGGTTTCTCTGACACGCCTGCAGATCCTTTTAGGGAACAGAACATTAAAAATTCACAGTAAAAAAGAATAATATTATCTTGTTTCTTTTTGTACCAGAAACAAAAAATAGACAAGAAGATTGTTTACAAGAAAATGGAAGTGCATCACACATCCTCTTCTCAGAATCATTGTGTCCTGTCGCTCAGGCTCTCAGGTTTGTTGTACACATTATAAATCTTAAAAATTCTTTTGTTCTCACACATAGCCTTAAAAGGAGAGACTGTGTATTGTACTTTGAGCTTCAATAATGTGTCCTTATGTACCAGTGCCTAAAATATAACAAGTATTATTCATGAAACTGAAATAAACCCATGTGTTTTCACACTGCAGAATATACCAGTGTCTTCTATTTCCAATACACATGGAATGCTACGTACATAAGCAAGAATCTATTGCCAACGTTCTTTGAAATAACTAATGATAACTAAGCAAGACTTATTCCAGCCAACGTCAGCTGCATTAGATTTATCATCACCAGGCCGCTACCCTTCCCTCACTTTGTCACAAGTTAAAAGCCTGCCCTTGACAAAACCTATGTTTGAGCTGAACTAGACATAAATACAAGATAGCTTCAGATATGTTGGGCCTATAGCTCAACAGACCCGAGTGCTTACCAATCTAGAGGCGTACAAAGTGAAATGGGAGCACAGTTCACTCCATTGCTCCGGGTCGAGCACTAGGCTCCTTGGATGTGTGTTATTGCTTTCTTTTCTTAATAGTAAGTTTCAGTTAAGGGTCTCTCCAGTGCCCATTCGAAACAATGTGAAGTCAAATAGAAAGCATGGGACTAGATATGAGTAACTCTACATGTCTTTACACACACAAATTCAAGCAGATTTTCTTTGATGAGTGAGAATACAGTAAGGCCACCCTCACATATACATATAAATATCATATCATATATTTCAGGCACAGTGGTTGTTCTCTGTGAATGGTTTTTTTATGAGAAATATTAATATGTTCCCAAGGATTTTACATAGCCAGAGCACATCTGTGCAAATGGGAATTTTACCTGGCAGTGAAAGAAGTTTGCTGTGCTAATGATTACCATTAAAAAGGATCCACATCTGGGAAATAATTCAAAGATCTGGCAACTCATCCCCATAATTACATATTACAGATAATAAGGGAAGTGGGTGGAAGAAGCAAATGAAATGTAATGGACAATTTCAGCAGCCACTAAGTAAGTGGATTTAAAATCCAGTATATGCTATTTGAGCGACATGGTAAATACTTTTAATAAGACACTGCCCTGCCCAGGCTCCTGTCAATGTGAGCAATTCAGACAAAAAAGAAATATGTAAACTTAAAAAAAATAATATAAAGGATTTTATAAAAACAGACTTACTTCCTTGGAGTTTTGTGCCATTGTTTGTATTTCGTATTAATTGAAAAGCCTTTTGAAATCCCACTGCATGCTGGGTAGGGTTGTCGGATGATTTTATACTGCTAACGAAGGTGGACATCTTCCTTTTTGTCTCACTAGTGGCAGGAGACAAAAATGTCTTATAGCACTGATCCAGTGAGCAGGTTCTTACTGTGTCTGCCACGGTTAGCACTGAGATCTTAAAAGAGAAGAAAATATATTGGATTATTTTACCATTTATAATTCTTTATGTACTGATATAGCACACAAATGATAAGCCAACGGAAGAGTTTCTGTGGATTTAAAACCAATTGTTAAAAAATAAAATGCTTGAGGCATAAATCCATCACATTTGAAATGGATTAGACTTATGATGATTAAGGTAAAAAGAGACTTTAGCCTTTTTTTCTCAGATGAAATCTGCTTCATTCTGCTCACACATAATAGTTACCATACTCTCATAGGCAAAAAATCTAAGCAAGCTATAGATATCTCAACCCAAAATCTGCAGAGAGCATTTTCAATAAATCTCCAGTGCCTACAGAAAAATGGAGCGCTTGTGGGAAAAAACTAGGAAATTTCCATAGGCAAACATAATGAGCTCTATACTAACTTACTGTACTTTTAATATTTTATTGAACGTGAGCCAAATTCACCACCACTTTTTATCCTGTAGATAAGTTAAAGAAAGCAGTGATAATCCTTGCACTATTAAATGTATCAGTAAGATAGTTTATGAAATAAGTGGCATACTTTACTATGAGCTATGATTGATGCAAAAGTAGTGACAGAATAAGAACACCACTGCATACCGCAACAGCAGTAAATGTGTGCCTGTAAAACAGATTTCAAAATTACCAAGTTACTGCATAATTAATAAAAGTGTTGTTTTAACTTATAATAAATATTTCTCATTCATTTAACCCCTGATTCAGCAAAACACTTAAGCACATGCTTAACTTTAAGCGCATACTTAAGTGTTCTGCTGAATTGGAACCATAGTACCTTCTACCATAGAATTTTAAAACTCTTTCCATGCATTAAGTCTTATACATATATTACAGATGAAGAAAATTAAGGCAGAGAAAGATAAAGTGACCCCAATATCATGCAGAATGTCTGCAACATAGCTGCAAAATGGAACCCAGCCCCTGTGCTTTAGCCATGCTCTTCTCTTATCTAAACTCTCTAGGAGCTTTGCAGACATTAATTATGTTTCACACCATCCCCGTAAGGTAGTGAAGTAAATTATCTTCATTTCACAGCCTGGAAAATGGTCTCAGAGGTTAAATGATTTGCCCAAGGCCACTTAGTGTGCCAAATGGTAGAGTTGGGATTAGTACACAGCTCTCCTAACATCTGGTCCTGTACCTAATGCACTGTATTCTCAATGCTTCCCATTACAAAAATGGTTACAAAACGTCTCCTAAAAAGCTGAAAGCATTACAGATAAATAACTCAGAAATATGATTTTGTTTTAGATAAATGCAAAAATGAAAATGTAAACAACCCCCCCACCCCTCCAAGGATGGTTAAAACTAAGGAAAGACACACAGTGGCTTAGTGCAACCTCACCTTATCATGTTCATCTATAGAGCTCAGAATAACCTGAGCTGCATCTTTGGCAATTTGAAGTTGTGTCTCTGTGACTGAAGCCCCATGGTCCACAATTATAACTATGTGCTTAGACTGGGGTCTAACCGTAGAGACATAGACAGGCCTGAAATGACACAAACATATTGACATCATGATGACCTCTCAGCTTACAGTTTCCATAGTAGTTTACTAAATAAAAGGAAAAGAAAAAAGGAATAATTGCTTGGTTTCATGAAATTTTACATTAGCGAAGAATACCTTGAAAACTTAACCTGATGAGTTTACGAGTAGAGTTGCAGGGCTAGGAAGCATTAGTCAGGTAACAGGGTTCACAAAGAGAGTGAGATAAGGTCCGTGCCCCAAAGAGTTTACAATCCTGCAACACTTACTTTTTACTTCATGCCTTTGAGTAGTTCCACTGAAGTCAAAGGGACAATTCATGCAAGTCAAGTTAAGTTTGCACATAAGTGTTTGCACGATTGGAGCCTAATTTCATACATCATGCAATGACAACTGACAAATGACAGGGAAGAGGAAGGACAATAACAAGGCCACACAATGACTGTTTTGGCAGATGGACGTCCAGAGGTTCTGCAACCTGTAATTTTTGTAAAAGTGTATTAACTCAGTGACACAGTCTGAACAAGTCCCCTGCACAATAACTGACTAAAAGAAGATTCCAGCTACTATAGAATGATCCACACAACTGACACCGTGGCTAGAATATTTAGACCAAATGGTCAAGTGTGAGTACCTGCAGATTAGGCACCTAAATCCTGATTAAGGCACTTAAATAAAAAGGGCTTGATCTTTAGAGATGCTGAACGCTCAACCTCCCACTGACGCTAATGAGAGTTGTGGGTGCTCAGCACCACTAATAATCAGGTCTCGTATTTGGGTGTCTATTTAAGTAGGTGCCCAATTTTAGGCCCTAATTTTGGAACATTCGGCCTTAGTTATCAACCAGCAACTTGCAGTGAATGACCTGTTTCGTTAAAGCATCAGCAGTGACAGTGTTCGGGGATACTGTCTGTAACTATCTCAGCATACACAGCACAAAGATTTTGGAAACAGAATGAGTAAGAGTGACAAGGAGTAACTGCCTCATGATGAACGCTTGATGCAGTCAATCTTGGCCATATGGAGAGATAAATACAATACTGGATGTTTGCTGGTTACATGACAAGTAAAAATCTGTGCAAGCTGTGTATAATTGCGTTAGCACAGTAGGTTTGGTTTATCACAATGAGAATAAGGCTCCTGCCAGGAAGGGCTTTTCTATGAATGCACTGGAATGTAATGCACATAGGTCATGCTCCACAAGCTCTTCTTATCTGTGCATTTTTAAACTGGATTATCAAAATTTGTCAAAGTCTGCTAAAGGCACTTAGCGTTTTCGTGTGTATGTTTGCCAACATCAAAATATACTACTTGGTGAAATGTTCAGATATAGTTTGATACCGTGAGGTATGTGAGAAAGATTTACCAAAGATCTCTTTTCAGGGTCTCAAAGCTGGAACAAATTAGAAGGATCTTGAATAAGAAGTAAAAACAACAGAACCCTTTTCCCTGTTAACGTAGACCTAAAACTACTTGACTTTAAGCATGAGTTTTGGGATCTAATTTTTAGGACATCAAAATCACCCACAGAAGTCATCTTAGAGGAAATGCAGAATATTTTAGAAAAGGCATTGAAATAAACAGCTGGCACAAACCAGTTCTTAATTATAGAATAGGCTGCAGCTCTACAGTGGTATTAATATCTATCATTTACACAGTACTTCTGATCTTCAAAGCACTTAAAGGTTAACTAGTTCATCCAACAAACCCTCTCAGGTAAATACCGGTAAAAAATATCTCTAATTTACTTATGGAGAAATTGAAGCAGAGATTGAGTAATTTGCACAAGGTCAGAGGAAGTCTTTGTCAGATCTGAGATTAGAACTCAAGTATTCTTGGCTCTCAATCTTTACACCACACCCTTCTCAGACCACAGTATGTTCAAACAAGCCCAGCCACTCAGATCATATGATGATGACTATGGGGTGAACACCTACATATTAGATTAGATTGCTCAATTTTGACAGATAAGCAAAAAACATTTTTCAGTCTCTATGATCGTCTCTCTCTTATATGGAAATATTCCTGTATGAACTAATATCTCCTCAGTAAGATTCATTATCCAGCAAGGTTAGTTAATATACAAGGAGAGAGTCAAAGGCGACTAGATTTTCTCAAAAGACCACCACGAGGTGCCTTCGTATGCTGGCAAGCAAATTACAAAGCTGTAAGGCCTTCCTAAGTAGTCCATTACTTCCAATGTTAACCATGCATTTAAAAAACCATTCAGAGGCCTTTCTACAGAAGGGAAGTAGGCCTCAATCCTGCAGTCTCCAGACAGGCAGAACTTCCCACTGCAATGAGTGGGGAGTTCCTTCCAAGAAAGGATTGCAAGATCAGGCCCAGTAACTCTGCATTACAGCACTTGCAAAGGAGTATAAATTTCAAAATGGTGGATGTGAAATTCAATTGTAGGAATAACTTAATATTACAACCTCTCACCAGGTTGCTGTACGCATTGGTGCTAAGTTCATATAGTGAAGGGCACTAGAGCCCAGGGAGGAAAGAAATTGTACTGAAACTACTTTCCAACAGGGTTACATCATAAACAGATTATTAGCATGGCTATCTGAATCATCCAACCGCTTATTCCCTAGTCATTCCCTAGCTTATTTATTGTTCAGTTTCAAGTAAGCTTCCTAGCAGAAAATGAAGAACTGATTTTCTACCATCTTCTGCATTTCTCTACCATCTATGAAATGTTAGCAGGCTGAGGCATTACTTACAAATGTTTACTGGCTGTTAAGGTTATTAAGCTGAAGCTAGGGAGAGGTGTGTGTGTCTGGGGATAATCTTATTTTATCCTTCCAAGTAAAATCTCTACTGAAAGTTTGATTTGCTGATTTTTAGAACAACCTAAAGAGTCAACGTTCATGAGGACTTTTTAGAAAAAACGGGACGCTGGATTGAAAACAATATTTTGAGAATATAATTTTAGCACTTGGTTTCATCTGAACACAAAAAGAATAAAATCATACCTGCTACGGTGTTCGTAACTTCCCTTACACCGGAACTTGTGTGCTGGAAACACAGTAAAAATGCCTTCTTCTGAGCTAAAGTATTGCCATTTAATTCCTGGGTTAGACTTCAGATTGTCAGCAAGAACTACGGAGTGAAAAGGAAAAAAATGAATGGGACTGCAAAGGAAAGTCAAAGGAGATGTATGCATTTATACACGGCATCTTCAAAATACCTCACGTTTGCATAAATAGCAAGAATATCCAGAGTTATAATACCTAAAGCCAACAACAACAAGTAGTAGTATTGGAAGGGAGATACATGATTGTGAGACATGAAGTTTTATGTTCCTGATTTAACTTCTAAAATCCAAACTGTTCAGTTTGGTCACGTCCTTAGTGATACTTTAATATTTTTTGTGGAGAACACCATATTCTCCCTAGCCATTGTTTCACTGCCATGAACTCGACTTCTTAGTATACAATGAATTGTAACAGATTGTACAGACGTAACAGATTGCAACAGCTCCTTTACCACACCTGGACATTTCCTTAGCATCTGCATTCTCCATACAATTCATAAAGCTGCTCTTTGACCCATCGTGTCCATGCAGCTTCTCCTGAAAGGCGTCATGCACATACAAAATATCCACTTTTCCCCAAGGATGAATCCCCAACCACTCAAATCCTCATTGAACATCGTCCCCTCCAAATTCCCGAAGCACTAGTACATTATTTCCCTACCTGAGGGATGATGGGAAGAGTGGTCCATAAGGCAGTAGAGGAGGAAGGAGGGCAAAGAAAGCTGCATAACCACCAGTCCTCCCCACTGCAAACATACAACTGCTGATGCGAGCATCTCCCTGAAAAACCTCCTGCTTTCCCCTCCAGCTCAGAAGAATGTGAGAGCAGCTCATCTGTACATGACTACAAGAAAGCAGCCTGCAAAATAACCTTCACTTTGTTGCTTCGATACACAGCTCGACCCACTCCCAGGAGCCCGGGCAGCCTAACACCAGGAAGCCAACAGGGGAGGAAGGGAGAGAGAACAAAAACACAAACAAAGCTACATTAGTGGGAAGAGGCACCCATAGGGTGACCAGATGTCCCGATTTTATAGGGACAGTCCTGATTTTTGGGTCTTTTTCTTATATAGGCTCCTATTACCTCCCACCCCCGTCCCGATTTTTCACACTTGCTGTCTGGTCACCCTAGGCACCCACCAATGGGGGAGTTTCCACAAAAATAAAATGGGAACCACTGCAGTGATCTGTATGGAGTTGTGGGGGCTCTGAATTAGGAGGTTGTTTTTAAAGTGATAGCCCAAAAATACACCTGAAACCACTAGCTCTTTTGTAATCCTTTCACTTGAAAATGGTTGACTACACACACACACACTTTACAAATAAACCAACACCACAAAAGTAAAGTCCATCCCCTTGCCTAGCAGTACTGACTGCAAAATATTGATGACTGAGGTCTGGTCTATACTACCCGCCTGAATCGGCAGGTAGAAATCGACCTCTCGGGGATCGATTTATCGCGTCCCGTCGGGACGCGACAATCGATCCCCGAATCGGCGCTCTAACTCCACCAGCGGAGGTGGTAGTAAGCGCCGCCGACAAAAAGCCGCAGAAGTCGATTTTGCCGCCGTCCTCACAACGGGGTAAGTCGGCTGTGATACGTCGAATTCAGCTACGCTATTCACGTAGCTGAATTTGCGTATCTTAAATCGACTCCCCCCTGTAGTGTAGATGTACCCTGAGGTTACACGCTTCTTGAAATTCAAGTCTGTGATGGAAACAATGATAAGCAAGTTATATGCAAATGATACTATTACAAATAATATTTGGGCGGAAAATGTTCAGAGAACCTTAACTCAGGATGATACAGTATCCAATGAATGCTATGTGTCTATAGAAAATGGAAGTTAAAACATTAAAGGGAAGTCTATTATTTATATAGTTTATACATGAATCCCCCCATGCTTTCTGGTCCATTAGAAAAAGTTCCTTTACTTTTCTCAGTGGCAGATCATGAGGGCGCTGAACATTCTTTATACCAAAATAGCCTCAAAAAGTAACTAATAGATGGCACATAATGAGGCTATGGCCTGATCTGCTAAAATCCTCTGGCTTATATATTTTCATGATCTGGTACAAATATTTTGCGGAACTTTCAGTAAATATGGTTCCCATCATTCAGGGCTCAATGATAACTGGACCTGAGAGTGCGCCGGAAGGGATTAAAAGGATACAAGAAGCTTTCTCCCAACTACACCACACCCTCATTTGTGCAAGGGATGGACACCAGTGGTGGTCCCTGAACCCAAGGATTGCTCCAAGCTTCCAGAAAATGCTTCACTATAGATAGGGCCCTACCAAATTCACGGCCATGAAAAACGCGTCACGGACCATGAAATCTGGTCTTCCCCCGTGAAATCTGGTCTTTTGTGTGCTTTTATCCTATACTATAGGGATTTCACGGGGAAGACCAGCGTTTCTCAAATTGGGGGCCCTGACCCAAAAGGGAGGTGTGTGTGTGTGTGTGTGTGTGTGTGTGTGTGTGTGTGTGTGTGTGTG